TCAAAACAATCAGACGTTGTCCCAGATATTCAATTACACCATTAAAGAGTCACTTAACAGAGCTTCAAAATGATGTATTACTCAACCACCTTGAACTACCTAGAAATATGAGATGTCCTAAAATTCGTTTTCAAATACTTGTCATATTTAAAAGTTAAGTTTAGTAAATGTAATTGTTTTTTTATTATATTATGTTTTATTGGTATGGTTAATTTTAAGTTAATTTTCAAAAGGTGTATATTGTTTTTTAATTACTTGAAAAAAATTGTACAACCAGCATGATAACTATTGCTCCTAATTCGGAAACGATTCAAATTATTTTTTCATTAAATGGGACACCCAGTTTCTCTAAACGGCATCAAGTACAGAATTTAGTCCTCTGTCGACTATTAGCGTTTCCTATACTGGAAATATTTTATAATGAAACGTAATATGCAATTGTTTTTAAATAATTAAGAGTCTCCTGAATGTTGCGAGCATTCATGGTCGATGGATGTGTCTTTGCGGGTAAATTTTGAGTGAAAAACCAATCATAATGGCGAATTTTAGAGTATTTTAAAGCTCTCCTAAGTGACTCTTCAATGGTCTAATTGAATATTTGGAACGTCAGATTTTTTTTGCGATTGCGAAATAAATATATCGAACTTTCGCGTATATCATAATTTGTGGTGGTTTTATATCTTAAGGTGGTTGAGTAATACATCATTTTGAAGCTCTCCTAAGTGGCTCTTCAATGGTCTAATTCAATATCTGCGACAACGTCAGATTTTTTTTGCGATTGCGAAAAAGGCCAATATATAGTCAATATAGGTAATATTTCATTCCATTCCAGCCACATACAAATATCCAAGAATATTTTCCCAAATATTTAAAATATGTAAAATGCGTAAATAATCAACCTGCGGAGAAATTGTTATATATTAAACGCTGAGCACAAACACTGAACAGCTGAATCAAAATTTAACTTTTTACAAGTATTTATTCAACTTAAAACACAAGAATCTTGCTATAATAGAAAGAAAACCCTATTCATCATATTAAACGAGGATCGAAAAGATTGACATGTTGGGAAACTTTATACCTTGGGAAATATGAAATAAAATATCAGCGTGTTCTTTGTCGGATGATTGCGTGGGATTTATAGGAGATGAAATTTTAGATTCCGGATCCTTCTGTGCGATTCGTTCCGGTGCATCTGCCTAGAGGATCCACGAGCTTTGGTTTGCATTCTAAAAACTTTCAAAGCAAAAAAGTCTCAGTTTTATCATATATTACTTTGCACAAGAACTCAATTTATTTAGTCGGGCAGGTAAGTAAGCATGATCATATTTTTTGGTTAGTTTTCGATAAATCACAAAATTGTGCAACTACTAATGATTCAATTTAAGCATTTAAAAAAACACAGATACGTATATTTTAAAAATGCGGGAAAACAGATTTTTCACCAAAAAATAGAAGAATCTATCCACATTAGTAAGTATTTTAGACAGAATATTTGTCTCCAATCTGTTATTAACTATTGTGGAAATTATGTATTCTGATGGGTTATACGGCTATTGGTACCATGCCCAAATTTTCGTCTATAGACTATTCTCAGATATAACGTAACTTGTTGATTAAAAACGGAACATAATTTAGACTTGTATTTTGTTATGAATTGCTTATCCGCACCATTTCATTAAATTCTGGGTTCTCCTCAACACAAACCTATAATGAGACGCTAAGTCACTCCGAAGCTCCAAAGGAAATACAATGTACCAAAATTGCTGAAAACGCCGTCATGCGGGTTATTACAATGGTTATTTTGACACCAAAAGATGCACGCCATAAAACTGACAAGATTTAATTGCAATGCAAAAATAAATATGAACTAAAAGTTCAAATTTTCACGAAAAAATATATTTTTACATTACAATTGTATTTTGATAAATCGATTTTCAACAAGTAAAAGCCACCTTAGTTTAATTGCAATGTGGTAATCCTTGCGCCAAGACGTTTCTTGCTTTTTCCGCATTGCACCGACACATTTACTTACGCAATCATTAGACTAGAATTTCTTAGATAACCAACCAATCGGAAATTTCTCCTAATCTGAATTTATGTCTCATCTTGCTTTAAGTAACCCCTAAAAATGTTACGGCATTAGCCCGTCAGTAATCCTATTATGTCAAGTCTGTAAATTTCACCGATGGACTTCTGAACACTGTAACCTGCGAATCTGTAAGCTTTCTTTGCCAAGTTCTTTCCTGGGCATTGTATTTCGTTTTGAGTAAGAAAAATCTAACCCTTTGGTAGTTCGTGCCACCCGAACTAATTAGGACGCTTTCGAAGCGTAAATTACTAATTGTAACCTAAACTTTAGAGTGGGATATTCGCAAACGGTCCAATTATCGCACGAATAGAGTTTCGTAACATCGCTGATATTAGATACACCTGTGTCGTGTTACGTTCGCCGCCGAATTCTCGTCAAAACGGGGAGCTCTAATTTGAATTGAGTATTATTTGAGTTAACGGGGCGGGAAGATGCTATGGGGGAAGGAGAACGTGACAATTCCCGGTAGAATCGCGACCTGAATGCGAATCGCTGGCGACGTTACAAGCAACAAAAACCGGATGTGTTATTGTAAAGAAGCGGCCATTATGTTTATTTGGGTTGCGTAATGGCGAGCGAAATTGATTTTTAGCAGTTTACGTAACGGAACTGTATAGATTAATCTGCTTAAATTCGGGAACGGCGATTGACGGATGCAGGGAAAAATGTAGGACGGTAATTAAACTGCACATATCATTAATTAAATTAAAAACTACACCGACATTGTATTTGGTTTATTTGGTATTTTTAAATGTATGGCGTAATTGTTATCTTGAATTTTTTAACTCTGTTAAATGGTTAATGATAATGAAATGGAAATCTTTTTTGTTTATTGCTCTTTACTCTATCTCTTGAAGATTGTCACGGGAGGTGTTCGATTATTTAAAAAAAAAGGTCCATATCTCCGAAAACGCTTCACTTATAGTCGTTAAAAAGAGTTTTTGCTATGTTATCAATAGTGGTATGATGCAATTGTCGTTGCTTACCTTGCCACCAGGTGGATTAAACAGAATATGTGCAACGATATGAGTTTTTTTCATGTCCGTAGACCAAGTGAAAACTGCATCTAAATATCTTTATCCTAACCTAAAACATGAAAAAAAAAATTAAATTAAAAAAAGTTTGGAAAACTTTTCACTTTACGGGTTTTAGCATTAATAAATTTTATTAACTACTGCCGCATCTTTCATTCTGCTATTGGATGCTTTCCAAAGCCTCTTGATTATCTGCCGTATTAATTACTTAAAGTTTCGGAATAATTAGATAACCATAACAACTCGTAAAGTGGAATTGTTTCCCAAAATCCAAATTTTTTTTAAGTGTCAAATTCTTTAATTCATATTTTGGGTTGGTATAAAGATATCGAGATGCGGGTTTCACTGGGTTATTGGGCAATAAGCCATTTAATATTTTTTCAAAAAATTAGTTTTTACGCTAGTATCAGAAAACTCCACCTGGTGACAAGGTAAGCAATCACAATCGCTTCATTTGTGGTACCATTAATCGCCTAAGAAAGACCTCTTTTACCCAACCCAAGCTTATTAAAATGCGTTAAGCCTTTTTGGAGATACGGATATTTATTTAAGAAAATGTTGTTGAATGTAAATGCAAACAGCATTAAACCAAAATAATTTGAATTTTTCGCAGCTCTAAGGTAGTACTCATTGTAACTATGGTTAAACAATAGCTATAAATATTGGTAAAACTTTCTAAAAACCGTCCTAATAAAGTTCAAACAGGTAAAAATTCAAAATATTTAAGTCTTTTCTAGCATTTTGAAAAGATTTTTTGCCCTGTCCATTTATATAAATTGGAGAATGAGGTGTTTATTTGATGAATTATTTTATTTTTCGATATAATTGTTACTAAAATACTAATTTATTATTTCTAAATAACAAGCACGAATATATGTACATTTTCGTGCTACACAAATGATAAAAAATCAAATTAGCAATTTGTGCTTTTACATAAAAATATCTTATCTATTATTAATAATTTTTTTATGAAACAAAACACAGAAAAATTGAAAAATAATATTAAACCATCTCTTATTAGACTGATTTGACATTAAATAAATTAATTTAAAATCATCCTGGTGGCTTCTTCAGAGCTTAACTGAAACTGTCTCGCATTCTAGACTGTACCTGCTTATATATTGTTTGACGGTGGCTTAGCTAAAGAAGGGGCATGAATATTGTCTTCTATATTCTATTCCCTTATCGATGAACGGTAAAGACCCGAGAGAGATTTCTATAGATTCTCGGATTTTTCCTTGGTAGAAGTTGATTACTTGCAAAAATTTTAGTTTTATCCAATAAGATTTGATGTCCGGTTTCATGATTTGTTCTGCAACTGCTGATGAGTTTATTAGTCGTAGTCTGAAAGCTATTTGACAAATTAACAAAGGTACCTAATTGAATATTTTGATAAATTAGAATCATTTATTATTCATTACATGCAACGGATATTTCAAATTATATTTATAATAAATTTCAAGGTAACCAGAGGAAATTTTATTTACCGTTAAAATAGCAGCTTTTTCATTAATATCTATTTCCAAATCTAAAGCTAAGTTTTGGGATTATAACGCGAACAAAATGTATTAATCCACTAAAAATTAAATATATTTGACAATGGTAATAATGACAACAGAAATAAATTGTTCATATTTATTGTGAAATGAAACTTCTTAGCATTGGCAACATCCTTTATCTGTTTTCAAATTATTAGAATCCAAAAATGAATAAGATTTCCAGTCATACCCTCTTGTTCCTCTGTTTGAAAAGAAAATCACGTTATTTGGCTTGATGACTGAACTAGAGATACATAATGTAACTGTTTTCGGGCAAAATAAATGTTTCATTTAAAAGAATTTGGAACATTTTGATTATTGAATGTGTATTTGCAGGATTCTTCGACACTGAAGCGGGGTATTGGTCGGCGATGGACTAGCTTGAAACAACATCCAAAAATACTCTCAGACTCAACGGATAGCGGTAAGGAGCAACAGACGTTTTATACCTGCGATATTTTCAAACAGCCGACGGAAACATGCCACTAAACTTTCGCGATTCTTTAGAAACCTGCCAGATTGAGGTCAATTTTACTGAGATACAATAGCTCGACTTTGTTTGCCTCTTATTTTTAACCCCGTAACGCCACAGGCCATATAAATTTACGCGACCTGGCGTTTTTATTTTTTGCTTTTTTATTATTTTTCTCTGCGAACGTGAGGTAAAGTTTACCTCTCCCGTGTGTACTAATGAGGAAACTAAAAATGTAATGAAATATAATAACAAAAAATTGAATATAACCGAATGAATTTGCAGTCGTTCATTTTAAATTTGAAATTAGACATTCCAACGTTATTTTTCTATATTTATGTAAAAATTTTATTAGATTTTTTAGCGTCCAATCAAAACTATCAAAGATCAACTTAGAAAATTTAGATTTTCACAGGAAATTTTTAATTTTTACTCATTCACTCACAAACTAATTATTTTATTACAATTTTGGTAAAGCAACTGGGACTACGACCCCATTATCGACACCATCATCAACAGCGAATACCAGCCCTTTGCCCGCATCGGTGTCGGAAAATGTCCGGAAAAGCAATTGGCAAGTCATCGAGCATTTCGGGTCAAAAGACAAGGGCAGTTTATCGTCCAGCCTCATTGCTGTGAGTAAAATGAGACAATATTTTGGTTGAAAACCTTCATATGCATATTCATGTTCATATTAATCCTTTTTAACTTATTTGATACATGATTTTTGTTGTGGAAAACACATTTTGGCTATATTGAAATTTTTGTAGATGGTTCTCTCTTCAAGGGGTAAAATTTTCCCTTAGAATTTAGATAGGCTAGACCGATTAAATGGCACCTTTTTTCAACGTCTTCGTTATACCTTTACATATTATATTATACACAATTTTATAAATTGGTTTTTGAGATATCGCATTACGCAACAAGCGCAGTAAACTTCATTTGACTCACGCATTTATTTGACATCAGCGGAGCGAGTGTCTAATAAACGAGTGACAAAAAGTTTACCGAGAGTCTTTGGGTACATTTTCGCAAATACATTCACTGACAGAACCGTCAGAATTGACAAACATCAAAATTCAAGGCGTGGGAAATATCTTCGAAAACATCCGAAAAGGCTTTTAAAATTTCATTAAAATTAGTATTAGTCTAAAATACACATACAAATTTCTTCAAGTTCGTTTGGGCAGATACGTAGGTACAGTAATTAGAATAGTTGAAGGTGATAAAAATGGGTCCAAAAATGAAAGAAACAAGCTTTATCAACATGAAGTTTTGTAATTTTTTATTGTTTTTATATTTGGCAGTTTTTCTTTGTTTTTTTTTAAATAATTGTTTTCCTTTATCTTTGCTATTTTTAATTTTGATGTAGTAGTAGATGTCAATTGAATTTACCATTACGTACTTAAAAGTTGAACTTATCTCCATTTATTATCATAATAATAGTTGTGCTGCTAGAGACCCTGTCCACATTTTTAATGCTATTCATCTGGATCTAGATCTACACATACATTCAAATATTGGAAGCCATTGAAAAATATCTCACAAGATAATTCCTAAAATTTTGCCTTCATCTAAATTTCACGCTTACAAAATTCAGCTTTTACATTAACTAAACGAATATGACGGTGAGAGAAGGCAAGAAATGACTAATGCTCCTTGACCCCAAACGGATTGGTAAACAGACTTTACTGAAGGGACTCAAATCTCCACTGATTTGCCGAAACCTATACATAACACCCACAAAACCAAAATGTTTGGGCAACCGCATAGTTGAGCTAATTTTCATCTGATGTAATAACGAAGAAATGTATTTACAGTTTTTGGAAAACAACACCGACAACCTAATAACTGACGTGTAACATTAACGACGTACATTTCAAGCTAGATGATGCTCCTTTTTTAAATGGTAGGGCGGTCGCCAGATTTAAACCAATTAAATTTTTTTATGGGATATTTGAAGCGTGTTCCTAACCAAGATCTGCGTGAAAGAAGAGCAGATTAATGCAGAAAAATGACTTCAGAAATATTTCAAAATGCTAGAAGAACCTTTGAACAAAGGCTCGACTACTAGATGGAATAAAATTGCTATGATTTGAATTATTTGGTACTTATTAAATAAATTATTTTTTTGGAAAATAATTTTTCGCACTGGATCAAGTGTCTCAAAAAATAATTAAGGTAAAATTAAAAAATTCAAATTAAATATTTTAAAAATTGTACGAAAATTTGTATTTGGTTTGCATCATTTTATTTTTTGAAGCGATATCTAAAAACTGATCGACAAAATTTTAAAATTTGCCTTTTTATCTGCCTTCCCTATCTAAGGTTGCCATCTTCGAAAATTTCAAAATAATCAAAAATGTACCCCTCTCCATCCCTCAAAATCAACAGATTTTAGAGTTCTTTGTTTCTTATGTATTTCTTTAAAAATCCTGGTATAATTTACACCTTGTATGTGTTTAACTTATTGTTTTAATCTTGACAATATTATACACTTGTCGACACAAGCCTAATTGAAAAAAATGTTTTTGAATTTTGAAAATGTTTTACTTTAATTATCAATAGAATCAATAAACATGTAAAGAGCCTGATAGCAACTTATTCACCTGAGCTCGTTAAAACTCGGCAGCAGTCTCGAAATAAGTGGATATAAGATAGCACACACATTTTAAATTGTTCCAAAAGGTTGATGCACCGTTAATATTATTCGAATGTTGCGTGTCGATTTAGGAAATAAATGTACTTCTGAATGCCCCATTTCTTGATAAACCCTGCCAGGCAAATTGCTCTGTCTGATTGTAGGTTCTGTTTGCAATGCCGTGTGTGTTTACATCCGTGAATGAAGATCGCTTCGAAAAATCTCGATTACGATTTTAAAGGTTTCCGGAAATATTCCAGGCCGCCGTTCGCGTTGTTTCGCGGGTAATAAATTTGACGTATTATCCGAACTGTTTAACTGAACCGGAACAACTAATAAGTCCTGTTGTTGAGTTACGATCCAATTTGCTGCCAAGGCCCGGTAAAATGCAGCAGTATTGGAGATTTATTATTTTAATTATTCCATTTGCATTCCGGATAGGTATATACCCACACAAAAGAAATTTTAACCCAGTTTATGTAATTTATTTTTTTTTAAGTTTAATAGTATCGTTTTTATTGTTTTGGTAGTAATTAACTCTCTATCCTTTTTTTAAATTTCTCGGAAAACTCACGGAAAGGGGGATGGTAAACACTTTCCTTTCCTATTACTAGGGGAAATACGTATAAAAAGATACAGTGTGTGGTTAATTTATTTAAACAACTAATATTCCGTATACGAGCACGTTCTATCTTTTGCGGGGTTTTCTTTTACCTTGTCCATGTGCTAGGCATAGCAAATTGTAAAACTTTATGCGGGATTTTAACGGCTTCTTTTTCGGTCCTAGTTCCACTAAGCTCAGGCAGCATTTCCGGAGCTCTATTGTTCATCTAGATGTGAATCCTCTGGAAAGCTTGAGAAATATTAGTGGTTTCCGAAGGTTCAAATACGTAGTCTGAAAAAACATGTGAATTTATGAGCAATATGCTGGTCTTCTTAAAATCATTGCACGAGATTTGTACTATTGCATCTTTCTCATACGATTTGCAAGAAATATATCCAATTTTTAAGTGAGTAACGATCCTGCCTGGGTTCTGTCTAAGTCACAACGTGATTTCTTGATTTAAATATGCTCTTAACGGACCAAAAATCGAAATATGCAATCCAATATGTGCGTCTAATATAAGTAGAATTTTGTCGTCTTTGGAAGCTTTGACGTAGGACTGAAAATGAGCAAACCATTTATAAAATATGTTGAGAGTTATCCTGCCTGACTGTGCAGATTGATGTCTCGTCAGTTAATTCATTCTTCATATTTTTTTGAAGGAATATGAGAAACGAATTTAGAGTTCTCCAAAATAGATACCGTTTTCACCACCTTTTATGGTTTTGATTTCGGAATGAGTTTAAGACCCGGCTTTTGCAAAGCGGAGAGAGACCATTCTTTTCAGCACGTGTACCATAAGTCAGGGCCGTATTTAAGATGTTAGCCGACAAAAACTGTGCCGTGCGGACTGTTGTATCTTATGAGTAGGATTTAAGAGAAAGAATGGATTTTTCACTGCATGGACTAATAATAATCCGTCAGTTGTCAGCACTTGTATCCACGATGTACCAAAGTACGGTTCTGGAACGTCATTGTGGAATTGCCAATCCATTTATTGAGAGTTACAAACAGAAAATTCATAAAAATATACTAAAGTTAAATACCTGATTCTGTCGTAAAAACGGTATATAGTTTGGAGAACTCTACAAAACTATCTGTTGCGTCCATATAACAAAGAGCAGCTACGTCGGATTCTCGTGATCACTCCAACTTTTTTACGTCCAGCAGTTGCAAATATCTTCAGGGGCCTTCGAACGGTGGATCAACCCAACTCATCAGCACTGTAGTTACGAAACGGGGAAATATTATTGTTCTCTATAACTTCTTATAGAATTTTCAAAACCCGTTAAGGCTTGTTAAAAGCCTGTGCTCTAGCAGCAGAAGTTGGTTCTGTATTTCTAAAACTGATATCTTTATTTCTTTATCGAAATCCAGATAACCGCTCTTGATCTGCTCTTTTTTTTTTGCTTATTAAAGCGGTGCTCGAAACCATTTTTTCCGCTAATTGATAATCATGTGAAGTAAAATTAATTTTAAACTAAATATCTTATCGCCAATATTCAATTGTCGATGAGAAAAACTGGTGCACAAGAAAAACTTGCAACCTTAACAATAACAATGTGAATAATGTAAACAAAACACAGTAGAATGGCCGGGGAGGTTTTGGAACAGTTTGGTAACATGAGTTACAGTTCTGAACCAGTGATTTTTCACCTGCCCGAATCAGTAGGTGGGACGTCAGTCTAAGGAGTTATTTTGAGTACCCTCTCTGTTTATTGGTTACGTTGGTTAATATATGTTTTAAGGGCAAATTTGAACAAAATTAGCTCCACGTACCATTTTTTTTATTAATTTTGAGATCGATAGTATACCAATAAAACAACAACGAAAACACAGCAGCCGAGCGTCGCCTATAGCGTTGTCTCCATACATAAATAAAGATGTTTTCATTATTTGTTTTTAAAAATGTATTTGTTAATATACTTCCCTCAAATTTAACGACCATGTTTGAAAAATATCTTCCTGTTATTAATTATTAGCAATTACAAACCAAGCGAAAGTGGGCACCGAGCCGCGGTATTTAGCAGCAATGAACACTCACTTCATATTTTTGATACAATAATTTTACAAAGAATAATTAAACTTAATACATTTTTTGACGTGGATCTTAAAAAAACCAAAATATTGTTTTTTTTACAAAATGATCGATTAATTTTAAGAATTTGATTGATTATATCAAACTTTTCAATGGCACAGAAAAATATAAGAATGGCTATCGAAAATGTTATCAATCGGCACCTATCAGCTGGGTGGGTAGTACTACCATTTTTTTGCAATAGAATCATTAAATTAAGATAATGCAAAATAAGTCCTTATATATATATATATATATATATATATATATATATATATATATATATATATATATATATATATATATATATATATATATATATATATATATATATATATATATGATGACACTATATTCCGGGATATCATCCGTTCGCTCGTTGAACTCCGACTGGAATCCTGCCAAGATGCCAAGTGAGATTTTGGCGAAACGTCTGCAGGATTCCAGTCGGATGCAGGATTCCAGTCGGAATTCAACGAGCGAACGGATGATATCCCGGAATATAGTGTCATCACATTTTTCCATCCGTGAATCAATACGTGAGAATATATATATATATATATATATATATATATATATATATATATATATATATATATATATATATATATATATATATATATATATATATATATATATATATATATATATATATATATATATATATATATATATATATATATATATATATATATATATAATTATAATGAATTTTATAAAGGTCCAAAAAAATATAAAAATATCTTTCAAAAAATGTTACTTTTCCGCCGTTAACAAAATGAATCCGTTTTTTCTTTCGTAGGTCGGTAGTGTCACTAGGTCATCTCCGAATCATCGGACAAATGGGTCGGCGCCGAATTCTAGCCCCGACGTCGATGGCGCTGTCGAGGACGACCTGCTCGTCTCGACGACCTCCAGGCAGACGTCGGGCGTTTTCGGCAAGCTGTTTAGGTTGCTGAAGAAACTCTGCAGTACTCACCAGTTTAGAAACGAACAAGTAAGTAAGGTCGGAAGGCTTCGCTCTGTCAAAAATATTTTTTGTTTATCCAAAAACCGAAACACAAGTTTTACTTCTACACGTTTGTTTCTAAAGCGGGATTGCGACATCATTAAATGTTCAGAGTTTTGAATCATATTTCTGAGTTATATATCCCTAAAACTCTGAAGAGCAAAAAGCACTCAGAAATTTATAGTTTAATTTCTTTGGACGCATATTTTTTTATTATTGCATTTATTGGTGCAATCAGTCAATTTATGTTGAACATACGTTTTAACAATATCCCAACTTCATGTCCCTAAATGAAAACGCACAAACTCAAAATTATCACTGCACTGCAATTTTGTTTTTAATTGCACTAGAGTATTTAATTACCATTTCAGGTCGAAATGTTATACCAAAGATATTTTCTCAAAATGAACCAAAGCAATATGACGAATCTGATATCGTTGCTGTTGTTGCTCTGCATTGGATTTCTATTATTGGGAGCGACTGATTTTCTGATTCCCCGCTCAGCGGAATCAGCATCGGCGTTCGAAAACTCCAATCGGTTAGATAAATTAGTCGTACTTATGTGTACTTCCGCCTGTTGCATTGCTATCTATGGAGGTAAGTTGGTTAGCCCTAATGCTGATACTAAACGACCGAACAGTATTTTTAAATTTTGAAATAATGTTTTTCTTTGGTTCCAGTGTTACTCACAGTTGTTTCCAAACCGACTATGAATGAGGTCTACCTGATAATCATCTCCTATTTTATTTTAGTAACTTTTTTGACCTTAGAGGTAAGCATTTTAATTTAATCACAATTTTGAATTACTTTTTTTAATAAAATAAACTACCTACTTTCTTCTATTTGGAAATTTTCTGGATTTCTCTTCGATTGGATTGGTAAAATTGCGCTTCCTAAAAATGAGATGATGATTATTCCCAATTGTTGAAATATCTAGAAATATGACTGAAGCTGGACAGTCAATAATATGCTGATTTAGAAATACGTAGATATTGTCGAACTTCCATTGTCTGTATTTTTGTTTACACAACGTTTCGGTTAGCTGTATGACTACCCGTTATCAGATGCAGAGTAGTTTTAATTCCAAGGCTACAAGATTTGTATACTAAACTACGGCGTGAGGTTGTGCCACTGGGATGCCAACATTGGTGCGCTCTATTAGGGGTTGAAAGGTTACAGGTACTTCCACGCTTGGATTGCTAAAGATGTTTCAAACTTGAGCTTTTTCCAAAGCTGTTCGCTGTGGACAACCCGGGCTACGGACCATTTGATGTAGTGTTGTTTGGGCCATACATGTTCCGCGATGTAGTTTTGGATTTCACCCCGTCATTATGTGTTTCCTATGTTCTTCAATCTAACTCTTAAGGGTCTTTTTGTTTCTCCAATATAAGACTCTCCACATTCACATAGTATTTGGTAGATACACTCTTTCTCGCAAGTCTTGTGTGTAGCCATTATGAATCAAATCCTTTTAAAGACTGCTTGATTCTACATCTAGTGATGCTGAGTCACGGCACATTGTGATTGCTCGTTTGGAGAATGTTTGGATGATTCCTAGTTTAGTTACTTTAGAATGGACATGGACATCTAGAAACGACAGACAGCCTTTCTTCTCTTTCTCAACGGTAAATCTAGTAGATGGTCGAAAAGAATTAAAATGGTTTTATTACGAAGGTATCGTTAACATATCGAAGCCAGACCCGAAGTTTCATCATCTTTGATTTGAAAATAAGAGTTATGCAGATAGCACTTAAGGAGCTCCATCACTCTATCCAGCGGTAGCGAAGTTTTGTCTGGAAGTGTTGTAGCGATCTTCAATTTGGCCTCAACAATATCTAGGGTTCCTCCAAGGGCACGTTAGTGTACAAACCTTCCAAAGCTAACAAACTTCTCTGAAGGACATAATCTTACAGTTTTTTAATGTCTATTAAATGTCCGGATTTGAAACTGCTGGTTGCGGAATCTCGCGAACTGCTGATTGGTCTAAGTGGTTCGTAACCTTAGTGGATTTTTGGCAGCCTATGCTGGTTTATTATGATGCGGCGTTAACGAAGTTCTAATGTTATCCGGAATGTAGCATGTATTTAAGCAGTGTTCGATAAATTCTTCCTTCAATCGTCCGTGGAGGGTCGCTAGAAAGTAGTCTGTATTTGTCTTTAGCAAGTGTCTCATCGATTTTGTGGTCGTATTCCTCATCAATGATGATGACTATGACGTTGCCCTTGTCCTCTGGGAGAGTCTTGATGTTCACTTCCTCTTATGGCTGCTTATTCCTCTTTGGTCGTATTCGTCGTCCTTTTTCTTCTCTTCTCAAAAAACTTTTCATCGCACAATGATGGGTAAAATTTAAGGGTATGGCCCAAACACCACATAAAATGGTCCGAAGCCCAGGTTGTTCAAAGCGTAAGTTTAAGGAAGCAGTATTCATTAAAAACAATAAAATCATCTTTAGCAATCCAAGCGTGGAAGTACCTGCAAACTGGCAACTCTTAATAGAGCGAACCAATGTTGACGTTCTAGCGTAACAACCTCACGCTTGACTGCACCCGAAAGAGCAAAAAAAAACAGTGGATTGTGACAATGGAGTAAGTGCGTCCAATAGGTGATTGAAATAGAAGATTATTTCTCTAGGCTCAAACGACTACAGTTTATCTGGCTGCTCTAAACATGTTGAATAAAATAGGTGATTGAAATAGAAGATTATTTCTCTAGGCTCAAAGGACTACAGTTTATCTGGCTGCTCTAAACATGTTGAATAAAATTAAAAAATGAAGTTATATTATAAATAAGTATTTTTTAAATATGTATTAAATTGTTTTTATTTTGTATTATTCTTACTGCTATGTAATTTTTTATTTACTTTACTATTTTTTGATAAACTACCTACTTTTCTATCCTCTTCTCTCTCTATTGAGTGCAACTTACTGTGGCCCTAATTTAGGAACGATTCCAGGTGTCTTAAAAACTGAAATATGGAAAACTATCCCGTAATGAACAATGTGATTGCAAATTTACATTTTATTACTCTCGACACAAAAGTTGATTTGCTACAGAAAATCTCTATAAAAGTGGAACTTCATATCGAGCAACTTTTGTATTGACATTTTATCGTTACTGATTTCTATATCTCCATGAGCGATCGACGAATTAATTGACTTACAGTCACTAAATAAATTGATTTTTATGCCATTTTTACATTTTCAACAAACATAGCGCAGTCTTAATTAAAAATCAACGTGCACGCCATTGTTTAGGCAATCACGAAGAAAATTAAGCAAATTAATGAGCAACCTTGAAAGTTCAGTTGTTGTCGAGTGTTCGTTCTAAATTTAATATTTCTTCCGTTTTGAGCACCGACCCTTTCGAGTTGAGGACAGCTTTAGGTAATTTCCTTTCCTTAAAATTGACAACTCGAGTCGAAAGCCCGTTTACGTGACATACTTGAAAATCATATTTTAAATAGGGGCAATTTAACCTTCTCATTCACAAAAGTGACATTGTGTTGTACGCATTCGTTTTGCAGTTCGTGAAATGCATTATTCAAGTCAAATTTGAAAGAAGGAATATAGGTTAGGCCGAGAAAATTTTATATTGAACAAAAATGATATGACCAAAAAAATAGTATTAAAAATAGAATCATAACCATGCCTATTTTTGTTTCCGAATGCGTTTTATCCATTGGAATTACCAAGTAATATTCTTTTCTCATAAATTAAACTTATCCAAAGGGCAAGATATTAATTGTACAGTGAGTGTAAATCCTATTTCTCATTTTCTTATCACTCAAAAATCACAAATCATCATAATGTTTTGTGATTTGTCTATTAATTCTATACCATATTTTTATATTCTCCATATCAGACGACCCACTATGGATTTAAACTTTATAAATATATATATTATATAATATATATAAAATGTTCACTCAGCTGCTGTATACATATATACATATTCTACCTGTTAGAATTGAAATGGTAGCTCTGTTAACAGTCTCAGGGTCAGCACGAATAGTTTCTGCGACATCCATAGTTCTAGCTACCATTGTTTTTAATATTATTTCAATTATTTTATGTATACGTTAAAGTTTCAAGTCTTCCCCATAAATATCAATATAAGGGATTAAGATCAAATGACCATGGTGGCCAAGGAACTGCTGAACCTCTTCCAATCCACCCCAGCAACACACTCCCAAGCGATGGCTGTCATGTCGTGGGACACACTGTATATTTGTTTACCAAAAATCACAAACAGTAAACTAGTATTTTATGATTTTATAATTATTCTTACGACAATCCAGATAAAGCTTAATTTATGCATAAAATATTTTTAAAATATTTTATGCATAAATAAAAATAAAATCGCCTCTGGATACCAGATGTCGTGTCACAGGCTTGCACTATCATACATCGATGAACTCGTCTTGTAACGGACTCTCCGAATGTGTATTTAGAGTGTTTTATTTAAAATAAGAAAGTTTATATCTTACCTAAAAAATCTCACACTCTGCACACTGAAAAACAATAGAAGAAGCTTTTGTACTATTTTTTTTTTGTAAATCTTACGATTTGATAGTGAGTCATCTTACGTCAACCTTAATTAAATAAATTTTTAAATAAATAAATTTACTACTAATTTTTTGAAAATAATTTGTTTTTAAGGATTGTGCAGGATTCTTTGCGTCGCATTGTATTCCAAACAGGGAAAACTTCTGATTACTCGCCGGTTTTATGCAGCTAATGTAACGATGCGATCGCAAAGAATAATTAAGAAAAAAAGAATTAGTAATAAGCAACGCAATTCAACTGGAGCTTTGTTAGGGAGATTTGCATCGGCGTAAAAGGAAAACCAAATAAAATCCAAAGTCGACCGTGTTTGCGCTCGTTTTGTCGATAATAATTCGCGTGGAATTTTTCTTTTAGCTTCACCCGGGGAAAAATGCTCCACGTTATTTGAAACGCAACCAGAGTCACGTTTTAGTTTTGAAATTAAATCACCTCAGCAAAAACCTGACCACGTAAAGCTGCGTCATTTTAAGCACTAGATGTTGATACTTTTTCTTATTAAAAATTCATTCTTTATATTAGTCTCGTTGGCTGTCTTTCTGTGTTTCTACCTACTGTCTAAATGTATGTGGCCTTAACAATTATGTAATAATAAGCAGTAATAATAATCATATGAAAAGAGTATTTAAATTTAAAAAATTTCTTTTTATTTATTTATTTAACGCGGATATAAGTAACGATATTAGGTAGATAATTAACATTAGCATGAACGAATTGACATGAACGAATAATCTAAGTCATTTGAGTCAATGAACAAACTGATATCTAGCACTATTTTCGGCAAGCTCCTTCACTTAAAAATTCTTACAGGTATATAGATTATGACAAACGCATTTTTATGCAATCTATAAGATATAAGTTACTTAAATGATTGTTTAATTTCTGAAAATACGGTATTATATAGTAATAGTATATAGTGAAATATAGTAATTGCCAAACTAAGATAATTTAGAATCTTAACATGAGAAGCGTAGGACGCGGAATTGTATGAATCTAACATTTTAAATCACAGATTCTTGAATAAATCATGAAACGTCATTAAATATATTATTGACCTTATTAATAATTATTATTGTGTAGCGCGTCCACTTTTGCTTTATTGCAGATTTGCATCTCGGTATTTTTCGAAGATGACAGGGCGCTGGTTGGGACAGCATTCGCTGTTGTGTCGACATATTTGACATACGCGCTGATGCCAAATCGACTTAAAGACGCGGTTCTATCCGGATCGATATTAGCAACCACAGAAATCTTTCTATTGGTCTACGTAGGAAAACTACTCAGTTTCTCCGACGTAAGACTGATTTTAGGAATTTTCTTATCTCAAAGGTCCGCCAAAAACGTAGATTCCATTGCAGATCATCAGTAACCTGATAATTCTCTTATGTGCCAACATGGCAGGCATCTGCACTCACTATCCGCGAGAAGTAGCCCAGCGAAAAGGGTTTTTGGAGACCAGACATTGCATAGAGTCTAGATTAAAGATTCAAAGAGAGAACCAGCAACAGGTGAGTATTAACTAGTTGAAATACTTCGTGAGTTGTTTGAAAAACCGAAATCTATCGCAAATCTTCGTTTCCAATTAATTCCAATTCCGGTAATTCGGAAGTGCATAATCAATCGACTTTTGAATATTTGAAAAGCGGCTGCCGCTTCGATTTAATTAGAACACGGTCGCCGGTTTCGAGTGCTTTTTGCGAATTATTGCGGCTCGGGCGGGCAAAAAACAAAATTGAAATGGCCGACAATTAGAGAAAATCGCCGAATCGCCTGTTATTTACTAAGTCCGATTGGTGGGTATTATTCTCGGGGTAAATTAAAATTTAAGCGGTCTAAATGGTCGCTTTCTTGCTTTTTGGAAGTTAAAATAGGAAAAATTTTGTAAAATAAATTAATTAAATTAAATTTAGAATGTTGTAAATTACTAAGAAATAGCTAAAGTCGATGGATTTCTTTTCTTTTGTTTTGGTACCAATATGGTGAACAGTATTATGGAGAATACATTTCCCTCTACCTTTCACTTCTAAATTGGTTAATTTCTTTATCATTTGTTGCGACTGATATGCATGGTGATGAGCTTAGACAAAATTCCCAAAATCAAATAAGACGTAATGAATAAAAAGCAGAGAGAAAAAAACCATTTTGTGCTATTATCTCCTGAATTGAAAGTACAACGATGTGCGTTAAAACGTACACCGATCTTATTTTTGTTTAGTTTTCTAAAACTGCTTTAATTTGATTTGTTAGATTATGTAAGTAAGAACAATTAAAAAAAAACTCTACAAAAACGAAACGATAGTGGATAAAAGTATTGGAATTATTACAACTATTGCAGTCCTTAGTCGGTGTTCAAAAATTCAGTTTCAATACATAACACGTGACTCCACAATACTTTACTAACGACAGCTTGAAATGAAACAAGAAAATAAGTAACAAATAATAACAAAGTGCAACTTTTTTTGGCAATATTTCTGTAGAGAAATAACATAATAATTTTTTTCCTCAATAAGAATAAATTAGAAAAAACTAAAAAGTTTCTAAACAAAGCTGAAAGTTCATTTTTCATTTGATACTCAGGGGGAGAAAACAGGTTACGATTTCTGCGGATGCATATAATTATAATTAAAATAATGACAATAAGTTACAAACAATTGTACAACATGAGTAAGTCAGATTTTATCAAAAACCAGAGATTCCGTCTGCTGAAGATATTAATATTCTGTTCTTTTTACCCCAAAGAAAGAAAAAGAACACACTTCTTTAACTTAAAGATTATAATTTGAATGAACTAATAGCGTCCGAAGAAAGTTAAATACAAAAAAACCATTAATAATAATTTAAGCGAATTTGACAAACGTTTACCTAGAAATTTCTGTAATCTGCTTAAGAATTTTGAGAAAATAGAAAATTATTGTTTTAGTAGATGAATTTTAGCATTAAATGCTCTACTCCTTCTCCAATATAATATCCAAGTTTTTTAGGAAAGATTTCCGATATTACTTCAATCACCTTAGAGGTGTACGTTTACGACTTGTCCGGTTAAATCAATCCGTTTGAATTTTGCCGACGAAGTTCAATTAGTCTAGTCAAATTAAACATATTAATATGTCGATAACACTAAGTCTAGTTCGCAGCTGGCACCTGAGGCAACATTGTTCCAGAGTTCAATTAATAGTTTCGGGTTATTGTGATAACTCCGACCGACAGTTCGGACGTAATGTCCGGGATTGGTTGTATCGCACCTCCAAAGTGTATTTGTTAAACTGCGCTAAACGCAAAACTTTGAAATGATACTAAGTACATGGTTTTAGTTTATGCCTTCCATATTTTACTGGTATTTTCCGATTCCAACTAGTTACCTTTTTTTATTTTGTATAAAAATAAAAATATTAATTGTATGGCATTAATACATGGGTGCACTTGGTACACCCCCAATCTTAGATTTCTCGCACTAAGTGCAGCCTTCGCATGCAGTATTATTTTCTCTGCTGAAATTAATTCAGAATTTCATGTTCCATAATGTTTTTAGTCTAGTCCTCCCCCGTGCCAGCCAACTACACAATATGCTCTGTCGCTGCCATTGTAGCCACTGTAGGCGACCTTCTACTTTTACAGGGGTCGATTGCATCTCTTGCCGGCGAGAAATAGTCATCATCGGTTGTAGTCCTACCGTCGACATTTCTGTCTCTTCCATGCCAGAAGGTTTGTTTTTTCTTTTCCAGAAGCTCAAAGGCTTCCGCTTGGAATATGTTGGGATACGTGCCAAGGCTGATCTTTATCTCCGTCTTTGGACATCTATATGCCGATCCAAACATCTTCGTTGGTTTTGGATTCGTCTGTGAATCAACGCTATCCCTTCTCAATCTTGTTCGCTACCCACTCTTCTCTGCTTGGCGGTTTTCACTTCCAAGTGAATGGTACTACCAGAGGGATTTGTGGTCAAACTTTCAATCCTGTACCAAGTGTATATGGTTATGGTTAGTTTAAAGAATGTTGGACGCCCGTTTTTCGCAATTACCGTTAACTGCTAAGTCGTCTAAGTATGCTTGCAGAATCGCCCCTTCCACAGCGAAAGGGTAGCCAGCCAAATCTCATTTAGAAAATATATTAACAACATATTTGGTATTATTTTTAGGGTTTGACAGGAATGTGATTGATGGTGATTTTTTGAACCCAAACCTTCTAACCAACTAACCAAAACTAACTTAACCTTGTAGCAACATATTAATATATGCGAGTATCTCAACGGTATTTTAAGATACAAAACCGAATAGGCTTCTTAAAAAAGTCTTCAAGATGTACAGAGATAAAAGAAAAAAGAATATTCTATTTTGGCCATGTGCCCATTTTACAATTCTGTTTTTGAAGTTAAAGTTACTGAGCCCCTTTTAACTATTTGATACTTTATTGTAGCAGCTATTCCATTTTAACGAGTTGATTGTCAACTTATTTTTCAATATCATTACATGTTTTTTTTTTAATTAGGTTGAACGGCACCCTATAGTTTATTTTTCTTGGAAATTCTACACAAAATGATTTTTTCCCTAAAATAACGTCTTAATAAACATCCACTTTGTAAGCGATATCAAATTATAAAGCAATGATAATTTAACGAACCTAACTTGGTTTTTAGGAAAGGCTGCTCTTGTCGGTTTTGCCGCGCTACGTTGCTATGGAGATGAAAGCTTACATAGCGGGACAGCCGAAGGAAGAACAATTCCACAAAATTTATATTCAACGTCACGAAAATGTGAGGTAAGCCCGATATAATTTTTATGGGAATTTTTATCACATTCCTTTGTCACTGCGATTGGTCGACGGAATTTTAAATTTTTTTCTGATCTTTTAATTTAATTAATCCCTCCATAGCCTGAATTCCTCGTCATAAAAAAGTTTATTTAAATCAAAAATTGGTTGCTCCAAGTGCAACTGAAACTTTTAAAAGAATACAGACAAAATACAGTATGTCAATTTATTATGTTAATTTAGTATGTAGCTTAAAATTATTACTTTAAACCCACTAAAATCTTTTGAGTTGGACAAATTTGACCGTTAAATTAAACAAGTGCGACGTTTCGCCAATCATCATATTGACTTCTTCAGAGCTTAACTGAAACTCTTACTTCTTAGTCATTTAAACTCTATACACCCTAATAGAAATAGAAACTAAGAATGATCTACCATTCTTTGATACTCTTATCAATAGAAAATCAGCTTTCTTGTTTATAGAGCCGTAAAACTATCCCAACCCGAGTCACTGAACCCAAGATTAAAACACCTAACATTTGCATGACAATGAGTTCAAAAGCAAGCCCACACTTGCCACTGTAGTCCTTCCTTACATTCAAAACATCACTGACTACCTGTCAAAAGTTCTTAAGAAATATATCGTCAAAACCAGATTTTCCACTTGTTCCGAAATCTCTTAACATCTTCCATCCGTAAGAGACAAAATTTTGTTTGGGATACCCGGAGTTTGCAGAATTCATTGGCGAGAACGGACGAAAAGCATCAACTAATATGCGAATCGGTCATCCGAGACAATGTTCATGGCCCTCCTTTAGCTCCTCCCCATCCGAACAATATATAATCAGGTACAGAGTAGAATTCGATCCAGTTTTAGTTAAGCTCTGAAGAAGCCAACAGGGTGAAGGTTGATTCAACAAACGCCGACACAGGAGAAATAGTTTTCTAAATAGAATAACATTGATTTGCCAAATTTCAATGTTAATTTTGTATGTAGTACTTCAAAAAAAAAAATTCAATAGTTTTTACGAAAAAATTAGAAGTAGAAGTCGATACGACTTCCCAATTCCCAGATATTTCAACATTATTTCTAAATAAAGTGTTTATTAAACATTACTAATTAAAATAAATAAAAGTAGTCGTTTCTTTCTTCATTATTTAGTAAAACTCCATATTACTTCAAATATTATTCAAAAAAATCTAAAATTTTAATACCCTGTAACTAACCAAGGACTGCTTTCGTAGCAGTTAAGCTACATACTCATTTAACAGAATCTATGTCGTTAAATTGTACTAAACTCAACTCAAGTATCCCTTATTGATTAGCTTTTCTTTCTGGTTCGGCCCATATATAAGAGTGGGTTAATTTGATTTTAAAGTAAGGGGTTACTTGGAATGTTTTCAGGGAGTTTAAAAAATGGTTAATTTTGTCCAACGTTACCGCCGCCATATTGGAAATATGGCAACTAAAATCACTTTTTTGACAATATCTCCTTCCCTCCGGAAAGTCCACATAGAAATCTATAAAGCTATTTTTAAAACTCTCAGAGAATTTTCCATGTAAAACTGTGCTATAAATAGACCTTCCTAGAAGGACCAAATGCGGGTTTTTTAAATCGCAGTAATTTCCAACTACAAGATCAAAATTATTGAAGCGGCACGTTCAGTTGATATTTCCATTCGAGCAATACGATCCGCGGCCATTGTGCGATCGTGCGTTTAGAAAACGCCGTTGTTACAAAAATAAATCCCATTGAGCACCGGATCGATCCGATGCGGTTAGAAAGTTAAACAAATAGTTCGGTTTGTCCTCATTTTTCGCTATACAGTCTGCCACGTCGAGCCCTCTTTTTTCTATTTTTCTTTTGCAGCATCCTGTTCGCTGATATATGCGGATTCACGACCCTATCCGATCAGTGTACCGCCGAAGAGCTGGTCCGAATTTTAAATGAACTATTTGCTCGGTAAGTTTGAACTGTGTGTGTTGTTTTATCAAAGACGCGAGCGCTCGGCACTTTGTTTGTTTTCAGTATGAAAAGAAAATTGTCGCTCCAACAATGGGTAGGTTTTTTACATTTTACATCGTAGAAGCTGATGCAATAATAATATTTAAACTGACTCGTTTGATCGAACAATTATATGAAAAAAGTTTGCAGAATGACGTCGTTCTATAATAGAAATTTTAATCTTTCAATTTGATCGAAACGGTTCGCGTCCCAATTTTGGGCATGTCTAGTCGAACCACCAAAAAACGCAGATGAAACGCGCTGGGTAATGATACAAAAACAACAGGACGATATTTGTCATAAATATTTTGAAACCAGGTTTGCTAAAGCGTTTGTTTTTAGCATACAAAATGTCACCGTGAATAAATGCTGCATTCCAAATGATCTGGGTCTATCCTTATTGATATATTCAATAATGTTTCACTCTTGACAGTGCACTGATGGGTCGATTTTAGGAAACAAAAGTTAAGGTTGAAACTTTAACTATTTTTTCACGATTACATAAAATAATTTGATTTTACTTACGTTAAATATCGTCTCCGAGAACTTCAATTTATTAAATACACTGCCATCTGTAGGCGAACGGTGAAATATGTTTGGATAGAGCGCGTGTTGCCATCTATCGACGAGGGACGAAACTTTGGTTAGATCTGTAATTTCGTTATTATAATGTTTCCCTTAGGGGACGGAGGGCGTAGAAGTTAAATGTACTCACTACTGATCTGGATTGTATTTTGTCAGTTGTCATCTAAAAAGAATCAATAAAATTTTGCATAATAAAAATATTGTCAATCATATGAATCATTTTTGTAGCTAAAACAATTTTTAAAAATTGTGCTAAATAATTAAAAGATTATACTTTGTCACACTGTACGCTATATTAGTGTGACGTAGAACGTCTATTTTTTTGCCGCTGTCGAAGTTTTGGATCCAAACAAACATAGTTCCCATTCAGTTTTTGCGGTTGCTTCAGATACGTTTTCAGAAAAATAATTAACAAAACTGATTAATTGATTAATTAAAGGAGTGTCTGAATATTAGGATCCCATATACCAATTTTGTTCTTAAATGATGCTAAAAAGCACAGTAAAACATGCATTTTTTTAAAATTATAGGTTATATTCTCCTTTTCATTCTCTCTCATTTTCCTAATGTGTATGGTTATATGACAAGATGGTATTTAAGGTTTGCTAGAGTTTTAAACCAGCCAGAGAACCCATATACATAATTCTGTCCAAAAGGCAAAGCTTTAACTTTCAGTAATTAATAACTTTAAAATCGGGCATTTCAATTGAAATTCCTAAACAGCCTAAATAGCGTAAACAAAGGCCCAGGAAACAATGAAAACGCGGACATTGTAATTACAACAACTTAACGCAAATCCTAATTAATATAAGTCCCGTTGTTCTGGAAAAACCGTTAAATGGCAAAAACGTAATTAAACTAGAATGGTTTTCATCGGCGGGGCGTATTGTTCTGGTTTTAATGAACACTCGATCGAGATCTCGAAACCCGTGGGGTAAAAGAACAGGTGATACGGTTTCCCTTTCAGTTAGATTGCTCGTTTAAATTAAACGTGGCTGGTTTCGAGGTATGTTATCACAGGCGAATCACCGAAATTTGCAAAATATATGTGATGGCTAAGCGTAAATTACAAAAATGATGCAAGATCTGTGACAGCAAATGACTATGAAGACTTATGATATATTCAAATAAAAGTACGAGAAACACAGATGTTGGTTTCCTTTCGTTATAGCAGTAAATCTGTCGAAAAGCTCAAACTCATTGTAGTAGTCTAATAGTAGTAATGTATTGACTATTGACTAAATTGACAAAAAATTTAAATTATAGCCAAGTCACAAAAAAACCTAAAACAAAAAAATACAGGAAAAATGCTACAAGGAAAAAAATTCACCATAGTAATAATAATAATAAACATTAATTTAAAAAATAAAATAAACAACAATTCTTTAACACAGTAATAAGTATTTTAAATTTATTAATTCTTAATTCCTTTGCCCGGCTTGGGAATTTGATTTGGAAAATCTATGCTGAAGGTTGAAACTTATGAAAGAAGCTATTTTTTCACTCCTATGGGGTGTGGCGTAAGATACTTTTGAGTGAAATTGGTTCCCAGCTCTCCAAAATATTCATAGTTTTGGAAAAGATCAACCACTTAAGTGTTACATAAACGAATGAAAATGAGACAACAAAACAAAGGAGTAAAAAATACCTCTTAGAAAATACTAGTCATGCAGGTAACTCGAACGAGAATAATTAAAAAATGTAAACACTCATAAAGAAACTAAAATAACAAATTACAGAAAATAAGAAATATAGACAAAATATATTAGTAATAGGTAGGAAAAAATCTAAGAGTAAGAGCGACTAAAATAATGGGGTAATAATTCACCGAAACAAATATAAAAATCACAGACAACAAGAGGTGTATACAATTTAAATTTATAAGTAATAAAAATTGAAAGGCGTAGAAAATCTGTCAATAAGTAAGAACATATAATTACCATTAAAGATGACAACAAATGCAAACAATTAAAATATAATAAATATGGACTATGTTAGCGTGAGCTAAAAAAATCGTTGAATAAGTGTTTAGAGCCATATCCTTGTTACGATGCTCATCTACGATTTAATATAGCGTAGCTACAAAGGATCGCATTACGCTGTATGTATAAATTTCATTGGGATTCGTTAAGTGAAAAGCACAGGTAAATTTAATTTCCGGCTAAAACAGATAATGTTTCATTAATTACATAGAGTTTTGCGAGTCCCAAAAGTTCCCTTCTCATGTGCGCCCCGGATTTGGTTTGTTTTCGCATACATAATACATGGTTCCTCTTTTGAAAGCAAGCAAAGCAAATCTGCCTTTTTGTTTATTTTTGAGTGTTTTGAGACTAGATTTTGGTAAAAATTTAATTTGAAATATTGCGTTCTTAATATACTCCTGTTTATAGTAAAACAAAATAACGTTGCCCGCGGATACCATTTTTTAACAGCAATTTCGAGACCCGAACAAGGTAGAAACTAAGTGAAACAATATCGACAAAGCAACTAACTAATGAAACGCGAACGTTGAAACTTTTTGCCCGGCTTGTTGCCGTCGTTGTATTAGAAACTAGTTTATTTCGCTCCAGATTCGACAAATTGGCAGCGGAACATCACTGTCTCCGTATCAAACTTCTTGGCGATTGCTATTACTGTGTGTCCGGATTACCCGAAGCTAGACCGGACCACGCCCACTGTGCGGTCGAGATGGGCCTGGATATGATCGATGCTATAGCGTAAGTCTATATCGCATGTGAATTAAATTTAATTTGAGTATCTCAAGTACGTAACGTATTTGCTCACAGGGTACGTCAAAAAATATGTCTTGATAAGTATGGTATTAGCTAACTTCCTTAAAATATTTAGAATATTGTCTTCTATTATATTTTATATTAAATATTCCATTTTTTCAATTTATCTAATATTAGTCAATGCAATAAGTAATCCGTTAGGTTAATGATGCGATATTTATCCATTTATGCTTTCTATTATTTGCTTAAAAGAATTTTTTAAGATGTCGGTGGAGGGATAATCTTTTTGAAGCTTGAAGATGATCAAACAAGCTGTTCTTTCACTCCACAAGGGTATCGCGTGAAATACTTTTCAGTGAAATACAACGAAATATTATGATTTTTATATATCGAAATTAAAAAACTTTGTAATTTATGAATTAGAAAAATGACACTCGATAACTCCCATGACAATTTTTCGATGTGGGAAAGGGAACGGGAAAAATGGGAACTAGACAACATAATTGAGTATAAAAGTTTCAGTTAATATTGTCCATAAAAGGACCTTGTACAATAGTAATCAAGGTATGTATCATTAAGAAAATCGCCTATTTACTATATATTTAGTACTTGTGTTTGTTCATCAAGTGTAACTCGAACGAAATATGTTCCGTACCAAAGCAAACAATTAAAAAGATGACTTAAAAATTACAGGAAAGATTAAAATGTTTAGGAAGATTATTCCTTGATTCGTATATTATTGCGTGCTTTAAAAAAAAAATGAAAAATATAATATACACATTATATTATACCGGCTGATCAAAATTAAGTATTCATCATTAGTAACTTCGTTATTAGTAGATATACAAAGTCGGTTAAATTAGCAAATTAGTACCATTTTTTTGTTTGTAAATCACTAACGAAACAAAAAATATTAGCCTATAATTGAAAATAACCGAATTATCAGCATATTTTTCTTTTAGACTAGTGGTTGCGAAACAAAACCCCATTTTCCTTATATTTTATTATTTGAGCCTAAGAAACAAATAATAATAATAGAAATTTCCACGTCTCACGCCTGCGTTTATTAAAAAAAAAATTGTCTCCTTCTTGTAGCAAAAATGGTTTCATTACCTCTAAAGATTCGACAAAGGCGCAGAAGAAATTGTTCAAAGAAGTTTGTGCAAATAATGACAGCGCTGCCAAATAAAACAATAGCTGTAAAAAAAATTGGTTTTAATGTGTAATTGTTATTATTATCATATCAATGGTTATCAATTATTAAAATTAATTTTACTGTATCGCTTATTTACAAATGGTTTTTACACATGAAGAAAAGTGCGACATGTTAGAATGCTATTGGGCATTCAGTATATCCTCTGCAAGGGCAAGAGAATGATACATAAACCTATATCCACAACGCCTTCCACCACATGAACAATTCTTTCTGTGCCGTTATCCAATTTTTAGAAATAATGAAACCGTTTTTGCAAATGGTCATAATTCTATCCGAGACACAGTCAAAGACTAAAGGATTTAAAGAAACACAAATACAATTCAGACCAACTCAGGCGCTTCTGGCAGGAGATATTGAAAGAATACTTTGGTTGTCATTGGTATTTTAACTTTTGTCGCCAAAACATAAATAATTTTCGGTATATTTTGTGAACCATGGCACGCTGACCACTGGGCGTTACACTGCAATTATTTCTGAAATTCTGGATGGTTCTTTTCTAGATGAGTTTGACTTTAAAAGTAGGTAAAATCTCCATTTCCAACAAGATGGCGCACCAGTTCATAACTTCCGAGGCACATATGAATTTTTGACAACCATTTTCAACAATAAATGGATTCCTTGATCCGTTAGGTCACCAGATATAACCCCACTTGATTTCCACTTGTGGGGTTATTTAAGGCACGAAATTTATAAGTTTTTTTTTCTATTTTCTTCTTTCCATTCTTCTTACGCTCAAATAAAACAGTAAAATAAAAATGGAGTTTAATTTCGCAATTACTCATAACTTTTTAGTCTAAAAGAGTGATGTACTGATAATTCGGCTACTTTCAATTTTAGGCTAATATTGCATGTGCACTTTTTTATTCTGTTGGTGATTTACGAACGTTTGAGTAACATTAAATTGTTTTTCTATTTTCACCATCGTAATCAGTAGAAAGGATGCTACCAGTTTGTTGATTTAACCGACTTTGTATCTCTACTTATAACAAAGTTACCAATGATGAACACTTAATTTAGATCAGTCTGTATATTAATTTAACTGTTACTGTTTTTTCCTCGCGGAAACGGACTTTAGCCGTAGCTGACACAGCAAGAAGTCGCGACCCAGACAGGATCAAAATTACTCGATTCAGGAACTTAACTGACCCTACCTCGCTTTTGTGGTCTTCCTTTCCAGAGGGGCCGGCCCGTGCTGCTTCCTCTGTGCCTCGGGTGGTGAGGAAATTTGGCGATCACCACGCGTACGATCTGACGCGTTCAACTGCACTTTTTGAACGACACGGTCAGAGCGACCTATTTAGCGCTTCACCGTGATTTTGAGTGGAGCATGCGCCTAAGGGCGCTGGCGGGTGCAGTTGGCCAGTTAAGCTCAAGACTTATCGCGAATAGAAGTAGAAAAGTAACTTCTTGGTTGAATAATGAAGTTATAGGTTTATTTAGAAAAATTCCTAAACACCCGAAGAATTAATAATAAATAAAATAAAAAAAATAAGTTACCTAACATTGCCTAAATCTTGCCATCAATTTGTGATTCATTTAGTAACTGGTCGTGTGCCTATTAATTTATCATTTCGATTCTTTCTTTTTTTTAATTTTAATTTCTTTGAAAGCTAATTTTAAGATAAATATAAAGTATTAAAATTATATAAGCAAAGCCATTTATTCTTGTAGCAAAAACATTTCTCCTGTCTCATGAAACAGCGGTTCATAGAGAGAGGTAGTTTTTCTCTTCGGTGACCGATCACTTGAGGGATTTCGTTAGCTCAATCTTATTATCGCATTTATCATTTTCATCTAAGCGAAATTTAAGCGCAAAGATGTGTTTTAAGGAACTTTGTGTTAAACTTGACCTCTATGGAACTAAAATACATAAAAATTTTAGGTGCTTTCTAAGTCCATTTAAGTGTAAACTTGGAAGATCTGGTGGCGGGTGTGGGGTTGACGGGAAAAATATATTAAATTTTTATTTCCGTTGTTCTTTGTTGTGTTTTATAGTCAAGGGACGCAATCAAACAAGAAATGAAATTATCTTATAGCAAATCATTATTAAAACACTACTTGATATAAACATGTAGGCAATAAAGCCTCTCCAGCAACACAAGCATTTCATTTCTTCGCAGGGTATATTAAAAGCTATTCCTAAAATTTTTGATAATATTAATATATTACTAATATAGAGTCATCAGTCAGCATACTATAAGTTTCCTTCGGTAAATGGTCCATCAATTTCTCTTTCCATTCTTGGTTTAAAAGCACTTTTTACGATGTTCCTTTACTTTTTTTTAAATTTAGTTATTTTTAATTCCTATACTCAGCTGGGACTTTGTTGTATAACTTTAAATTAGATGAATCAGCCTTTGATTTGGAAAATCTATGCTGTGATATAGTCAGTCGGTCTGATCACATGATGAAGTAGTTAATAGTGTGAATAGACTTTTTTTTGATGATTGCAGAGAAATATCATGATTTTAATATATCAAAATTAAGAAAACTTTGTAGTTTACGAATTAGAAAACCACCATGGCAAGCTACAACTAAAGTCCAAACAGCTGTCTGAATTAATCATACTTTAGAATAGATAAATTACATATATACTTAAAAAATAAAATACTTAATTGACTCATAAGAGAACAGGAACAAGACAAAACAAGAAAGAATAATAGTTTTAGTAAATATTGATCATAAAGGGACCTTGGAGAATTGTAATTATATCGAGGAAATCGCCTATTTACCATGTATTTAAGTAAGTACATGTATGTGTTTATTAAAATATAGTACGGCTTGAATTTTGACGTTTGTCAAGCCTGAAGTTCATATCAGTGACTGTGTTTGTATTGTTTTGCCAAACTGTACCCAAAAACTAATGGTATTGGAAAAACATAGGATGAAACTTTTTATATCAATACCGTCTACCTCACTTGTTGCACCATGAACCATTAAAATAAACATTATAAAAATTAAGTTTAAATGTCTTAAATAATAACTTCGAGAAGACGACCTGAAAATTACACCGCGAATAAAAATGTTTCTTCTTTATTTACTAATATTGTTAAATAATTTTGATTTCTTATTATGCTTCTATTACTCAAATGGGTAAATATTTTTTTTCTGAAAGGTAATTTTGAGACGAAGATAAAATGTACAGAATTATATAAGCAAAGTGTTTTATTCTTGCGAGAAAAATGTTCCTTCTGCTCCATAAAATAGCAGTTCGCAGGGGGAGGTAGCTTTTCTCTCCGATGACTGATCACGTACGGGATTTCCTTAGCTCAATCTTATTATCGCATTTGTCATTTTTACCTAACCGGAATTTAAGCGCAAAGATGTGTTTCTGTTACTGAAATGGCAAAAATCAGTTCATGGTGTTTCCAAGGAATTTTGTTTACAACATTGCTCGCTATGGAACAAAATACAAATACATCAAAATTTTAAAGAGATTTCCTAGCCCATCTAATTAAGCTAGCGTGTTGCAACTTTATTAATTTTTATGAAATGAAGGTTGCCACACACAGAAATGTCTTAGCTATTTGGGATTTTAATATACAGAGTGATTTTAAAATATTTAGATATCCTTTGCAGATTGATTATGCGTTAACTCATGGAAAAAATTTGATGTAGTACAAATTGCGGCAGTTATTTTTGTATTGAAACTCACAAATTTTAATATACAAACTAAACTTGTGGTTGTATTTTTCATAATTCAAAGTATTTCAAATACAAAGCACATTTCTATAATTTTGAGCGGTTTCTTTACCAGTAGGTGTTGAGAAAAAAAGTTGTCAGTTTTTTGAATATTCTTTATTGTCGTGACATTTCATTCTACTATGGGTCATGTTAACCCAAAAATTCACGATTAGGAAAAATTTAATAGAAATGTGTATTTAATAGTACATACAACTTTATTTTAACTGAGTTTTTGTAATGAATTATGTAATTTATAACAAAAGTAATATTATAATTGTATTTAAAATAGCTTCCTATGTGAAATATATTTTTGAAAAGCTAACAAGCCAAACAAATTTATTAAGACATAGAGTGTAATCCATTAACCAAAACACAAGTTGCTGCACATTTAAATTTATGAGTTTCCAAAGAAAGCCGACTACGTGATTGGATCTTACGCAAAAATTCTTATCCAACCCAATTTTCTCCTTTTCACATATAAACATAACACATAACGGAAAGGGTGTCTAAAAATGCAGAATTTACAAAATCGCCCTGTATCTAAAAATTTCATTTGATGAAAAAGTAGCCTTGGCTCACGAAAGCCGCAACTCGCGGATACGCCTCAAAACCATAAAAACTTGCACTTATTGCTCAAGCTCTGGTGGCAGGTGTGGGGTTTATTCATTTTGCCTTGCTTCTTACACTTTTTCTTGATCTCTTTCCTTTTTTTGTTGTGTTTTTTGTCCTGCGGCGAAACTAAAAAGGAAACGAAATTTCATTTATGATAACAGTTCAGTTTGGCAACACCGCTTGATACAAACACCTAGGGGATAAAACCTTTCCCGCAGCCCAATAACGAACTCCCTAACAAAAAAAAACGGAAACGAGAAAATAAAAGTAAATATTGGAGCAAGCCGGAGAGCATTTAAAAAATTAATTAAACGGAATTGATACGAGGTTTTTCGATTAATAGCGTCGGACCCTCTACAGAACTTTTTAAAAAATGTAGGACTTCGGAATTGAAGGAGTCTGTATGTATTTTCTTTTTTTGTTTCTAAACGAATAGTAACTAACCGGATATTTTGCAATAAAATCAACTCTTTTCAGGTTAGTGAGGGGTGTAATGAACGTTAACGTGAATATGCGAGTTGGAATACATACAGGACGAGTGCACTGTGTCGTTTTGGGTCTGAGAAAATGGCAGTTTGATGTGTGGTCTAATGATGTTACCTTAGCCAATTATATGGAAAGCGGTGGCATTCCAGGGTAAGTTTTGGTTAGTTTTAGCGAACATGGTTTTTTTATATTTACTTTCTTCATTTTAACTACAGCATATAATTCAGATGAATAAAAGAATCTTTTTAAATCTCATGTATATTAGTATATTATGCTTATATTAAACTGAAATATGCGATTCACCAAAAATCGGTATGAGAACCTTTAGACCTCTTTTTGCATGTAATAAGGAAGAATTCAGGTTGTCCAAAACTCTTACTAACCAATCAAACCTATCATACAACCTACGGTATCCATTAGAGATAGGATTAAAAATTATGATTTAAAAATAAGAACCTAATCTCTGAGGACCGAATAATATGTTTATAATATGTCCAAATGCAGAACTTTATTATTTACATGTCTTGTTTTTAAAATAATAAAAAATCAAGTACTCTTTTGTCTATTTAAAAAAAAAAAAAACAATTTAGTAGAAACACAGTATCAGGCATCCAAAATATGCAATTCTGTATCAGATTCCCAGAAAAGTAGAGACATTTTGTATCATTCAGAAAAAAGACAAGTTTTTACTCTCCACCTAGTTCTTTTAAATTGCTCTAATATCAGTATCATGGGCTTTACAAAATTGATTTTGTTTCTTAGTTATAAAACGATATAAAAATATAAAAACAATATGTTAAAATTTATTTTTATTGGTTTTTGTTTGAGATTTCAACGAATCCCCAGCATAAATATGTAAATATTGAGTAGTCCAATTTATTATATTTGTCCCATTCCTAAAAAGTAAAGACCCTATTTAATAAAACAAATTATTCAGTAATTTTCCGGTTTTTCCCAGAAATGCACTAACGCAATTTTCGTTGGTTTTAGTTTATTAATTTTAGGCAGGTATCAATTGCGACTGGACTATTTGTTAAAAAACATAAAAAATTGATTTACATTTTTTTTTGCATCCGCAATCAATATGTTAAAACGCGTAAACAATTCCTTTTAGGAGAGTCCATATAACAAAGGAAACATTAAAATGCTTAGGGAGCGATTACGTTGTTGAACCCGGACATGGGGGAGAGAGAAATTCATACTTAAAAGATCACAACATCGACACATTCTTAATTGTGGCCCCTTCGTATAGGGAAGCTCAGGTACGCCATCCTTATGTTATGTTAATTATTTCACGGTTTATGATTACGGTTTGTTTCAGGGCAACCCTTACCAAAGTCATTCTATGAACGGAAACGTCGGTAAGGAAATGCGAATTATGGGCCACGGATCTCTACACGGGCACTCCACAAAGTAAGAAATTATTCTAAATTATACTGCAATTAAACTAGGATACAATCGCAAAAGAAAAAATTAATAAAAAACAAAGGAAAAAAACATAAAATTGAATAGAAATTTATCCGAAGTTGTTTGCTTGAAAAATCTAATCGATCGGAAAACAATTGAATCTGAAATCCGACGGGAGACACCGGCAGTAAAATTTAATTTGCTTAAACCAGTGGTTCTCAACCGCCGTTCCGCGGAACACTGGTGTTCCGCGAAGCTGTCCCAGGTGTTCCGCGAAAATTTTGAATATAATATAATAAGAAACAGTAAATTTTTTTATTACTATAAAATAAATACTACATGGTTTTGTTAATTATTTGAAATTTAGCAAAAATATTCAATATTATTCTAAATTTTCGCGGAACAGTCAATAATATTAACAGTGTAATTATCGAACGACGCAGTTACGTCGTTTGGAGTTACTCCGGGGAATACCACTAAATTTCTAGTGTACTCGATAACGCAAGGAGCGCTACGTAGTGTTGATTTCGTGCTGTTTCTCTTTCTTCGTACGTAAATAACAAAAGCGCAATTTCGATCTGCGGTTCAGCCATAATTTAATATAAATATCGAGTTTTCGTGGTGTGTTTTTTATTGTATATATATATTTTATATTGTTGGAAATTGGTAAGATGAAATGCAAGTTGTGTAGTTTTAACAGTATTCTTATCTTTTTTAGTTGCTTATTTTAGCATTTATACAAGACTTTTAAATCTGAAATATGGACAAATTTTTGAAAAGAAAGACTGAAAGTGAGGTTAATGTTGGGGCGAGTACAAGCAGGTCTTCTTCAATTGAAGGAGATATGCAAGGCAACAAAAATGCCGAAAATAAACGTAAAAAGATATCCGAATCAGTTCGGCATTATTCGGAAGAATATCTGAAGTTTGGTTTTACATGTTCCTATTCCGAGATGTATTGTATGTGGTGAAAAAATGGCTAACAGTGCAATGGTCCCAGCTAAGTTACAGCGACAGCTTTCAACAAAACATTCTTGTCTAACTTCGAAAGGTAAAGATTATTTCGAAAGATTGCTGAAAAATCAAGAAGTGCAAGCAACATGCTTTCGAAAGAGCGTTACAGTTTCGGATAAAGCGCAAATCGCTTCTTATAAAGTGGCAGAACTAATTGCATTGAAGCAAAAGCCGCATGATATCGCAGAATCGCTAATTTTGCCCGCATGTTTAGAAATTGTTAAGATTATGTTTGGCAATGAAGCGCAGCGAGACGTCCTAAAAATTCCCGTTTCGGACGATACGATAAAAAGAAGAATTATAGATATGTCAGGTTTTATAGAGAACGCAGTGACGGCGACATTAAGTACAAAAAATTTTGCGCTGCAAATTGACGAATGCACTGACATAAGTGGCAAAGCCCAATTAATCGGATTTATTCGCTTTGTTGACGACACTGAAATAATAAATCAGTTTTTATTCTGCAAGGAACTTATTGGTCACGCAACTGGAGAAGACATATTTAATTCAGTATCATCTTATTTGGAAGAATGGAAATTATCCTGGGAAAATTGCGCAGGAATCTGTACTGATGGAGCTCCAGCCATGCGTGGCAGTATTAAGGGATTTTGTAGTCGAGTTAAAGCAATAAATTCAAATATAGTCTCTACTCACTGCTTTCTGCACAGGGAATCTTTGATTTCGAAGAGTCTACCAGCAAACTTAAAGTCTGTTTTGAAACAAGTCGTATATATGGTGAATTATATTAAATCGAGACCATTAAAAACCCGTATGTTCAAACAACTTTGTAACACCATGGAATCCAAATATGAATGTTTGCTTTTGCACTCTGAAGTGAGGTGGCTCTCAAGAGGAAAAGTGCTAACCCGAGTTCATGAGTTGAAACAGGAATTGCTAGTTTTTTTTAGACAAGAGGGTAATGGTGTATACGTAAAATATTTGGAAAATGATGCATGGTGTACTAAGCTAGCATATTTAGCCGATATCTTCAGCTACTTAAATTCAGTCAATACATCTCTTCAAGGAAAAAATGAAAATATTCTGACATCCACAGACAAATTGCTAGCTTTCCAGAAAAAGCTTTTGCTTTGGAAAAATCGTATTGCTCAAAATCGCAAATTTGATATGTTTCCGTTATTAGCAACGGAAAATATTGTTAACATTAACGAAATTATTTCAAATGTGGCAGAGCATTTGTCAATATTGCAAGACAAAATAACTCATTACTTTCCATCTCTTAATATTGAAGACTTTGATTGGGCGCGAAATCCATTTGGTGAATTTGATATAATGAACCAAGATTTTTCTATTCAGGAAGCAGATGAGTTTATTAATATATCAACGGATCGAACGTTACAAATAAAATTCAAAGAAGAAGGAGTGGAAAGGTTTTGGATTTCCATCGAGAATGAACATCCATTTATTGCAAAACGAGCGTTGAATATCTTGTTGCTCTTTTCGACGTCCTATCTGTGCGAACTTGGATTTTCAACTCTAACAAATATTAAAAGCAAAAAAAGAGAAAGACTTACCAATTTAGAAGAAGAAATGAGAGTAGCGCTCTCTTACATAAGACCCAACCTTGAGGAAATTTGTAAAGGTCGTCAAGCGCAAATTTCTCATTAAAATAAGTTACCATGTAATATATATCTTTATTTCAATTAAATATTAATCTTCCAATTATTTTGTGTGATTTACATTAGATTTACAAATTTTATGATAATGGTGTTCCGCCAAAATCGAGACCACTTAAAAGTGTTCCGTGATCCCAAAAAGGTTGAGAGCCACTGGCTTAAACAATCGAACAAATGAAATTCAGTCCTATACTTGAAGAATTGCTGAGAACAAATTATTATACAGGCTGTCGCTTAAACACTTTTATCGAAATAATTAATGAATTATTACTATTAGGTGCTAGAGCTAATAATTTCTTCGCGCCCTTTTGAAATCTTATATTTTTGTTTGTAGTTATGTTCCAAGTAATGCAGGCGATGAACCACGAAACAATAAACTCAAAGAAATTTTTTATTCACAGAAAAATAATAGGAATGAAAATAAGATACATTCAAACATATTCTGGTTCTGAATGAATTACTTCATATTTAAAAAATAAATAATATTGATAACAATATCTATTATAGTGAATTTTTGAAAGAGCTACACACAAATTCTTGTACTAAATATTTATTCTTAGCTAGGCATTCTAAAGAATCCTAATTATTATAATAAACTTTACTATAAATAAAACTTTCTATACCTTGTTAATCGTCACTCGTGGATATCTCCTAAAATTTGGTTGGTACTCATTAATTTTGAAAAATGGTATTAAGTTTAAGTTGTCTCACGGTCAAATATAAATACATGGGAGTTTTTAGGTCGCTACAGAATTATTCCACAAGCAAAGAACAAATCCAACAAAAATAAGAATAGAGGAAGTTAGAGAATATGCAAAAATAAACTGCACACTAAACAAATAATAATAATAATAACAATAACATAATACACAAATATTAATAATTACAGACCGGTTACAGTCACCACGGTTTTCTCGAAGTTGTTTGAGTACTCATATATCAGTTTGGTTTTCGAGAAGTAGAAAAATATGATTTCTATGAGTCCGGCAAGTGTCTTATTAGGGTCTTCTGCGGCATTCGATTGTGAAGGTCACGACTTCATATTATGGAAAATGTTTTGCAATGATATAGCGATCGTTTAATAAGTTTTCTGATGACGGGTATTTATGATTCATGCTTGGAAGACAAATGCAACATGGTTTTACGTGAGGTAAACTCTTGGTTTAATGATAATAACTTATAACATCTTTTATAAGATTCTATCATATAGATGTCATCTTTCGCTTCAAATAAATAGTGAAGATTTGGTGTTTGTATATGATGTGAAGTCTCTTGGAATATTCTTACATAACAAAAATGAATTTTAAGACTTATTGCTCTTCTTTTTTCTAATAATTAGCTACGGCAACACCGCTTTTTTAATAAAAAGTATCGAAAAGTTCAAATATATCCAAAATTGCCAAAGCTGGAAAGATAAAATTCAAGTTTTGGTAACCGTTTATTGATACACTTCTAACATTCCCTATGTTCAAAAACGACCAAAAAAAATGTAGAGAATTGTTTTATTTACAGAGGTAAATCTGACAACACTGCTGTTAGCATTTTTAAATTCTGCATATTTAAAAAGTTTAAAATATTGAATTTTATCGTGTGCGATTTTTTAACCTTTTACCAAAAAGAAATAAAAATGTGTGATAAGCCTGTACTCGGTAGTACAGTCAAGCTCTGACGAAGCCAAAAGGATCATTGGCGAAACGTTAGCTGGTTCGACCAAACAAGAATTGACGCAGGATTAATCCAGAAGGTTTATAAAAAGTATCCTGTTGACTTCTTCAGAGCTTGACTGAAACTGGCTCGCATTTTACTCTGTACCTGCTTTTATATTGTTTGAGGGCGCGGAGCTAAACGAGGGGCATAACCACCGCTGTAAAGATTGTTAGGTTGCATATAGATTTCTATAGACTCTCGGATTTTTGGTTGAATTTTAGTTTTATCGAATAAAATTTTATGTCCGGTTTCGTGATTGTGTTCGGCAACTGGTGAGGAGTTTATTTTACCTAGTCGGAAGGCCCTTTCATGTTCTTTGAGCCTAGTTCATATTTTTCGTCCGATTTCTCCAATGTATTCTTTGCCGCATATGCATGGAATGCTGTAAACTCCTGGCGTCTCAAATAGAATTTTGTCTTTGACGGATTTGATAGATTTTTGGACAAGTGGTAAATATGGTTTTGACGTTATATTGCTTTAGAACCTTTGATATATGATCAGTCATGTTTTGAATGTAAGGAAGGACAACAGTGGCAAGTGTGGGATGGCTTTCGGCTTCATTGCTATTGGAAGGTTGTGGTGAAGTGTATTTTGTGATGGAATGCTTAATATCTTTAATGTGGAAATTATTAGAGAGAAAAGCAGAGGTAAGGTGATTTAATTCTGGGTTCAGTGACTCGGGCTGAGATAGTTTTACGGCTCTGTAAACCAGAGAGTTGATAACCGATGATTTTTGGGCCGGATGGTGTTGTGACAATGCATTAAGGTAACGGTCTGTGTGCGTAGATTTTCTGTAAACACAATGTTATGTCTGATTTTCTATTGATAAGAATATCTACGAATGGGAGGTTGTTATTAGTTTCTAATTCAATTGAAAAACGCATGTTAGGGTGTAAATGTCTAAGAAAATCTACTACAGATTCTTGACCATGAGGCCAAATAACAAAAACATAGCTGTTCCCGAGGTTTGTTCAAAAATTTGACCGTTATAAGAAAAATATGTTCCAGACAAGCATTTTTCAATTAAGGTGCGAAGGTTTGATTCCAGATTCTCGGATTTTAATATATCTGAAATTATGGTGAGAGTTTCAATAATATTTTGCTAGGGAATATGTTGGAGAACCAATGGTGCTGACAACAGGTTGAAGGGGTAATTCTGGCTTGTGAATCTTTGGGAGTCCGTAGAGACGAGGAATTTTAAAGCCATGAGGGAAGACAATTTTTTTTCAGGGAGTCTGATAGAGAGGAAGCCTTAATGATAGATTTAAGGTTGTGTTCCATAGATGGCGTACGATTTTTTTAAGTTGACGATATGATTCGTTTGGAAGAATATCTTAAATCTTTTCCTGATATACATTTGTGTTCGTGACCACCATAGCATTTCCTTTATCTGCTTTTAGGATTGCGATTTTGAGATGCGTCCAGGCTTTGCAATATTAGATTTAAGGGGTTTTAATTTTCTAAGGATTTTTGCTGTTTCAAATCGAATTTCATTAGCTGTTTGAGATGGCAGTTTGTTTAAGATAGACTCGACATTTGAAATGATTTCCTCTTTTGGTTCTTTTCCTTCCTTGGTTATAGATTACTGTTTGTAGTCTTGAATTAGGCGTCATTTCATTTTATTTTTCACAATTTCCTATACAAACACTGAATTTGTCGATCTGGAAAATAGTGATTATTATCATTATCATTATTGTATAACTTTAAATAATTTATTGATTTGCATTTTAGCTACGAATACACGGATGTTCTTGAATTTTTAATGTCAATCAACTTAATACTCCTTGTGAATAAGATTGATAATTGTGGCCTTTTTAGAAACCTAGCTGCACTCTCTATTGATCTTAGCCATTTGCACTTGGATATACCTATTCCAAAATTGGTTGATATTTATTCATAATAATAATAATTTTTTCAAATATTCGGATAAAGTAAGAAATAACCTTTCGCTCCTCGTCAGTGCGCCCTGTGTGTAAATTTACTTTGAAACTCGTGTTTTCGCAGGCCGTTTAGCGAACCGACGGAGACGAGAGAAAAAAATCCCGAAGATGAAGTTAACGAGTACCTAATGAAAGCCATCGACGCCAGAAGTATCGACAGGCTAAGAACCGAACACTGTCGCACCCTTTTGCTCAACTTTCGGGATCCCGTGAAAGAAGGAAAGGTCTGGCTTAATTTTATTTTCCAAGTTTTCGGTTTTATATCCCTTCGCCGCCCCGATATAAACATCCATTTTATTACAAGAAAATTTTGCCGCGACTCAAATCTGATCCCGCTTTGATTTAAAGAGTGTATGGCTAAGTTTTTGACTGGCAGTTTCTGGTCGGGAGTTTAGGATGAAAAGTTTAAACTACGGATGAACGCACGGAGCAACCGAGCGAGGAACATTATTCAAAACTTAGTTTCGAAACTCAAATGTTAGTTGCGAGTACGCTATATGTTAAGCTTTGTCGCGTTGAATTTTAGTATACAATTCCAAGCGTCTTTCGATGAGAAATTTACGTGAATGGTATTGTACGGAACGCATTGTCGCAACCACGGTCAAAATTATATGAATAACAAAAGTTAGTTAACATTAATGAATCGATAATTAGAAAGTACATAAGCAATAATGCTTATGCTCATTACGTCATAATTTGTTTTGAGTAATTTCGTTACTATTTTTAATTCATTCTAAAACTATAGGTATGCAGGTGCATTGGTGTCCCGTTAATATGGAATACTCTGCTGAATTTTCGATAATTTAATTATTTTGGATTCGGATTTTCAAATATTACAGTGGACCAGTTCGTTACTTATCTCAATTTAAAAAAACATATTCCTATGGATATGCAGGGTAAGTAAGCAGTTAGCACGGAAATATTGTAAAGAAACTTGTAATTTAATTATTATTATTTTTATACCTGCATGATAACTATTGCTCCTTATCCGGAAACGATTCAAATTGGTTTCTCTCACTACATTGATAATGGATTTTAGGGAATCTCATTATTGGGGTGGTTTTATATCTTCCCAACCGTTTCGAGATGATTGAGCAATACATCATTTTGAAGCTCTGCTAAGAGGGTCTTTAATGGTCTAATTGAATATCTGGGACAAAGTCAGTTTTTTTTGGGCTTCTGAAATGAATATAACGAATTTTAGGGTATTTTATTAATTCGTCTTTTTTTATATCTTCCATACCGTTTCGAGGTGGTTGAGCAATACATCATTTTGAAGCTCTCCTAAGTGGCTCTTCAACGTTCTAATTGAATATCTGGGACAACATCATGTTTTTTTGAGATTGAAATTGAGATTAGGATATCTTATTATTGGGGGTAGTCTTATATCTTCCCAACCGTTTAGAGGTGGTTGAGTAATACATCATTTTGAAGCTCTCCCAAGTAGCTTTTCAATGGTTTACTTAAATATCTGGGACAACGTCAGATTTTTATGCGATTGCGAAATGAATATATTGAACTTTTGGGAGTTTCATTATTGGGGGTAGTTTTACATCTTCCCGACGGTCTCAAGGTGGTTCAGTAATGCATTGTTTTGAAGCTGTCCTAAGTGGCTGTTTAATGGTCTCGTTGAATCTTTGGGACAACGTCAGATTTTTTCGAGTTTACGAAATAGTAATTAAATTATTTTTTGGGGTGATGCGAGCGGAAAAGAGGTTATTTTCTGTATAGCAACACTGGATATGGTTTTTGGGAGTTCCCTTAAAATATTTCTGTGCTTACTTACCCAGCATATCCACAGGAATATGTTTTTTCAATTAAAATAAGTAACGAACTGGTCCACTGTAATATTTGCAAATCCGATTCCGAATCCAAATCCAAATCCAACTTCAGCCACATAATTTAGTGCCAGTTTACAAACTGTTGCAAAAAATATGTACATTTCTCCGGGGAAGAAGCGGGTAGAAACAAACAGACAATCTAATCTCGCTCCTTTCTTGATAAAAATGGCCAACTTCGAATTAAATTCGCTTGCTTATAACAAACATCAACTCGCGAATCCCGCGCAACAACTTTAAACGCCCGCCGGGGGATTTGAAAGTTTTTTTTGGATTAATAATTTTCAATTTACCTGTTAAATTTTATTCTTTCTTTCGCCGAGCGTATTTCATTATTATTTTTGCCGTTGAATATGCGGACTTTTTTTTACAAAAACGCGCATTTACAATTCAATTACGAGCGCGTTTTATATTGGTTATGGCAGTGTTGGGATTGACTTTATTATTTTTTTATTTTTTCGGACGCTTAACAAGCTCGTTGAGAGCTTCGTTCTCGTGTGCGTTTTATTGTATAAAAAACATTCGTTGTAATAAGATCGTTAAAAAACGAATGGGTCGGAAATGTTTTTTGTTTCACTAGTTTGTGTAGCCGTTTTCTTATCACATGTAATTAGTAGTAGAATTCAAAATCCTTTTCCAAAGGCAAAAATCATACGCACTTGAGAAAACTTAGATGTTGCAGTGGCTATAAATATAAGGCTTTTTTTTATTTCGACATACCGAATATCAAATTTTGAATTGTGTTCTCTTGTTTTTTCTTTATATTTCTGTCTGCCGGTAAATCAAAAAAAATATAATTATTGCCCGAAATACCTGAATTTTAAATAAACATTCATAAAAACGAAGAGTCCAGTATACAGGATGTTATCTATTTGAATGCCAGTTTTAAAGATTTAAAACGAAATATGATACATGAAAAAGTATTTTAAATCATATTACTAAATATCAAATTCCTTAAACGTCATCAATCTCCATCTGAAAAGTTAAAAAGTTTGAGATACATATTCACATAAAGTTTTTTCTTATAATATTGGGATTTAATTGACTATTTACAAAAGAAATGGTCGGTTTTCACTAAGAGCAAAGATTACAAGCTCCCACATTCTCCGGAGGAGCGCAACTTAAAAAGGCTAAAATAATAATTCCCTCATTTTTCCGCTAAACGTGTTCAATGACCTTATAATGTTTCTGTTTCAGTACGCCCTGGAGAGGGATCGTATGCTTACCCTGTACTTTTTTTGCTCGACAATTTGTTTCGCCGCCATAATACTAGTGCAAATAGCGATATTCAAGAGGTAAGTGCGCTTTCAACTTTTCCTTAGCGTATCACTTTCTAAAGGCTGATAAAGCGAGAGAAAATCGTCGGTTCGCGGCCACTTAAATATGGAAATATGTGCGGTAATCCAGTTTCAGTAACCGGAAATTCGTAGGAAAAATTATGGAATTTTCATCTCACTTCTGCTGGTGGTGTGCTCTTTTGTATGATTTATTTATTATTATTTTATCAAAATTTAATACGTTTCATGTGTTATTTAAATTAAAAACAAGCTGAAGAACAAACCTATACTGTTAATTCAATGCTGAAAATTTACAGCTCCTAAACAACTATTTATATATATATATATATATATATATATATATATATATATATATATATATATATATATATATATATATATATATATATATATATATATATATATATATATATATATATATATATTCAACAGTCAGACTCACCTACTCAATTACAGAATGGCACAATATAGGCTAATACTATTTAAATTAGAACAAAAAATGTTCAGATTTTGAAACATCATCTGAGTAAAGTATTTCTCTGGTGGTATAGCTACGTACGAGTATGTGATGTTTTTGCCTGTTTCACTGGAACCGAAAGACAACTGCAGTCCTTTTTGAATCATATTAATTCGATACATACACGCATAAAATTTACCATAGAGACGGAACAAGATAACTCTCTAAACTTTCTGGTCTTAACTATAACTCAACTACAGAACAAGTTAGATTTCTCCATTAACCATAAATCCTCACACACTGACACAATAATACATAATAACTCAAATCACCCTTACACACACAAAATGTCTGCTTTTATGCTTTCATCAACAGACCAGTTAATGTACCACTTTCTATAGAAAATTTTGAAAAAGAATTAAATATTATAAAACAAATACTCGTAGCTTTTAACAATGGTTACGACCCCTCCTTGATAGATAAGATTATAACCAAAAAGCAGTTTCAAATAACTCTGAACTCTATCTATCCCATATTAAACACCGGAAACACAATTTATAAAACAATAAAATACATAGGAGAACCTAGCAAGAAAATTTCGAAACATCTATCTAAATAAAAGTTCTGATTCCAACTATGCAATTCATTCAAATTCAGAAATGCACAACTTTGTCGATAACTTTGATATTTTACATAATCATTAAAAAAGCAAAAACCTAAATTTGTTGGAAGCTATGGAGATTAACAAAATGAAATATTCCAATTTATTTCATAATGACCAATTGGATTTAAATGCGTCTCCCTTGTTAAATTTAAATTTATAACCCTATAGCTGTATTTAAAAGTCTATTACTACCTGTTTTTACGAGGGCACCGCCAAAATTTCCCGGCCTGAATATGAAAGAAAAAAAGTAGAGTAACAATTTTTTACTATTTTTCAATATAATCCCACTTAACTTCAATACACTTAGTAAATCTCTTTATTAACAACTCAATCCGTTTAAAAAATATTCTTTTGGTTTGTCTGCAAAATGAGTTAAATAGCCTCTTTTGACTCAACTTAGTCGTTAAACCGCCGTCCACGCAAGTCCCTTTTCAAATATCCAAACGAATAATAGTCGCTGGGGGTCATATCTGGACTATAGGGAGGATGATCTATCTGTTGGAACCCACACTATAAAATGGCAGTTTGTGCAACACCAGCAGTATGGACAGATGCATTATCGTGCAAAAGACGCACGCCTCTGCTCAGTTTTCCTCGACGTTTTACACGTATGCAGTCTCGCAATTTATGTAATAATGTTGCGTAATATTTACCATTGACAGTGCTATTAGTTTGTTTAAAATCTATCAAAAGAATTCCTTCACAATCCCAAAAGATCGTGGCCATCACCTTTTTTTTTGACTGGCAGACTCTGAATTTTTTTGGAGGTGCTTCACCCTTACGACGCCACTCTATTGATTCTTTTTTCGATAGAGTTTCATAATAGAGGACCATAGTTTCATCTCCCGTTACAATAGTTTCTATCACAGGCTTCGGTTCCGACCCACAGAGTTTCAAAAAAGACCGCGCACAGTCGACACGGCGTTGTTTTTGAATAGCCGAAAGGTTTTTAGGAACGCATCTTGCACGAACCTTATGCATACCTAAATGATCATGCAGGATTCGACAAACACTTGTATCAGAAAGCTTCTCCACAATCGCAACAATATCTTCCGTTATGACCACCACTGGTCGACCAGTTCTTGAATCATCTTCAAGGGACTCCTGCCCCATTCGAAAACGTTTTGCCCATTCTTTCATTGCAGAATACGAAGGAGAACTTTGACCGTACACACCATCCAGCGTTTCTTTAATAATTTTAGGTGCTAACCCTTCTTTTGTCAAAAACTTTATGATTGCTCTATACTCAATTTGCGTTATTTGCGACCTTTTTTCGGGCACGTCTTGTTTAAAATGTTGTCTATTTGACCCAAGACTTCAATTTTTTTTCGCAGCCTACTAAGATATATATTTAAAAGAAGACAAAGTTTTATTGTGATACTAGAGCTACATCTACGTCAGGTCGGGAAATTTTGGCGCTAACGTCGTATATATAAATGTCGGAATATTTGATAAAGGCACGGTGTTGCCGAATCAGCTGTCGTAAAGCATTAAAAACTGTGAAAATCAGAACATTTTTTGTTCTAATTTAATTTGTGTTAAATGGATTTTCATCAAGTAAAAGCCACCTCAGTCCGAATAATACTATTTAACAATATCTGAAGAGTGAGCAATAAATTTCTTATCTCTACAATGAAAGCAAAGGTTAGATTTAAATAAATTATAAGTACTTGCTAAAGAAGCTTACATAGGTTTGTTTTAAATAAACTAAGGCTTAAATTAAACCTATCTATATCTATGCCGTTTTGAAAAACACAAATAAGTCTGAGCACATCTTATTCTAGGAGAGCTAGAAAAGCAATCGCTCAATAGAAAACGCACCTGATATGGATTAGCGTTGAAGCTCAACTAATTTATACAAAAAGAAGAATCCACAAGGTTATTTACAACTTTGTAAAGAAAAGCAATGTCAATACAGTTTCTTCGAGCTTCAAGTGACTTCAAATTGCAAAATAAAAAGTGTCGATCTCTATTCTAAAGTTTAAATTGTTTGTATGCTTTCTATTCTGATGATATATTTACTAGAAATATGATTAAAAACCGTTGATGAGTACTCTAGTACAGACCTTATCATGCTGATTATTACTATCTAATGCTTGTAAACCCTTTGGTAGTTCTCAAAATGAAGCCAAAATTTCTCAAACATTTTTTGATAATAGTTTCAATATGAGCCTCAAAGTTTAACTGCCTGAGCCTTTCGGTTCTTTATGCGAGAGAATAATAAAACGTAGGGACATCTTAAAGGTTATATTGTAAAGTTCAGATAAATTACAATGGCAACGATAATTTCTGTATTTGTATTCTAAGTTGCTTACGAAAAAAAGATAAGTTTGGCAAATGAGAGTCATATGTGAGAGCGATAGAATAACGTATTTTCAAGACTTTTAACCTGCGTTTTACAAGGTCGTAAATAAATTTCGTAACTATCCAAATTTTGAGTAAACATAAATTGAGATACTTGGTAATAACGGGGAATACTATTTTGAATATTAATTTTATTTCACATTTTAAGAAGCACTTTGCGCGACAATTTTCAAATTATGTTTTTCAAGTTTTTCGATAAGACTTTAAAAGCGAAACAAAAACTAATAAATAGTAATTTGTCTGCCTATTTTGAGTTCTCTCGCCTCTCGTCTCATTATATAGCCATGTATAATTTATAAAAATCACGAGACAATAAGCTTCGTCTTTTCAAAAGTAATTTTTTACTAATGCCGAGCTTTGTCGTTTTTCAAAGATACGGGTGAATTTGATGGAGCGCCAGCTTAGCAATTCGCTTTTCATTGTCTCTCTGACTTTGCTATGCGTAGAAAAAGACTTGCCGAGTTTACTCGCTATATAAGTATAGAATTTCTCTCGCTGACGGTTGACAGCAGGATAACTAATGAGTTTCTCGTTCCTCTTTTAGGTAATAACCCAATTGTTTTCAGCTAAATTAGCTTTTAATTGCATTGTTAAATTATGTTTCAGCAACGAAACGGCTATGTTCTGGTCAGTTCCTATTGTTTTTCTTCTAGTCATTATCCCGGTTTTAGTTTACATGGAGAGTAGTAATCAAGCGAGGGTAAGTTAACTCCGTTGGTAATCACTAACAGGTAACTTGATACAATAATCGCCAACTCTGAACACAACACCGAAAATCATAAAACATAAATTTTGATATCGGAATAGTAGAGTAGCTATAGTATTAAACGTATTAAAAATAAATAGACCACAGTGTAGAGTATAAGAGAAAAGAAAACAATTTGCAAATTCCATTTTCACCATTAAAACATCTGGTAAGAATTTTATTTAAAGTCTATTTCAGAAAGGCTTAGATTAATTCCATTTCATGAGGTTTGGTTGTCGTGGATTTAAGTTCAAAATAGTACCACCCAGGTTTGGGTCAATTTATGAGCTTTGCCTATTGTTATGCATCGACCAACACTCAAAATGGCGTCCCTAAAGTCTGCTCGTAAAAATAAATGAATTTTCTTTCATTTCAATTAAAATTAGATAGAGGAGAAGCGGATAATATAATCCGTTTTATATTTTTCAATAATTCGGGAAAATATTTCTGTATTAAAGGTGTTTTTGTGTGTTTGAAGTAATAAGAAACTTAATCTTTTTTTTTAATTGTGAATTTTTCAGTCTGCAATATGGGCCATGAATAAAAATGCCTAATATCATTTATGAACTAGGTATCCCATATTAGCAGCAGGGCCCATTTTAGGACGCTCTTCTCTATTACGTACTGGGTGTCCCAATTCTCTGGTATAGACAAACTTCTTAATTTATATGGAACATCCTATATTTTACTGGGCTTTTGTATTTAGGCGAGGAAGTGTCATTTTTAAACTGTTGATCGTCAAATATACGTTTGTGTACCGGTCCGTATATATTTTAAAAGAAGAACAAATCATATTCGCTTAAGATGACCAGAATGTTCTGATGAAGGTCGAAATGACCGCAACGTCAACCAATAAATTTGTCAATTCGAAATAATGCCAATTAATAAATAACGGACCAAATCCCAAGAACCACACCTGTAAAAAAATATGTACTTTAAAAAGATCCAAAGAAAACCAACCAAAAGGTTGAATGTGATGTTTGCCTAATATCTATTTTGCGAGCACCACACATAACCTTAAATGTCTCCTACACTGTGCTGACATCAATGATCAATAAAAACAACCGTTCTTTTTAACACTAAATCCAAAATCGCAATAAAATACATGTATAATCCAGAAGTGATTAATCTATAAATTCCTTTAAATGCAAAGAACTTTTGTATTTCTTTGTAATAGTTACAGGTTTTGAGAAAACTGTACTTATTTTTTATTAAACATTATACAAAAATTACATTGTAAAAAAATTGTAATATTCTTCATCTGAGTAACTGTCATCCCCTCTTTTATGTATTTAATTAACGCGTCCGCAACCCAATGTGCCGATCTTTCAAGTAGTCAGGATCCCACATTGTCTCCTATTCTTTAAGATATTCTGGACGGCTTTTCGCCAGTTCTATGTAGTCTCTTCCCCAATGACACTTGAAAAACCTCTCCAATATGAGGTCGGAGTCTCTCTATGCGGTATCCATAGTAAATTGCCTTATACATAATTACCACTGAATCATCCAGAAGATATTTTATCATTTCTCCAGAATAGCATTCAAAAATGTCAAAATTTCCAATAGGGATCAAAAATAATTTCCCATTGTACTACCCTATGCTTTTTTTAGCCTATAAGAACAACCTATAAAAGGGCAAGTTTAGGAATAATTTATGGTTCGGTGTAATTAAATTAAAACTGGGGCACCCTGTAATTTCCAAGTTTTAAATACTGTGGCGTTATAATGATTTGATATGACAGTCTTCTTTGCAGCGGACTCAGTCTAAAGTGTATGCGGTGACAAGAATGATCCACCGAAACCGAAATATAGCACAAGTGTTCTGCATCATCATGGCCGTTTGTATTTATTCCCTCGTGATGCTTCAATCGGTAAGTAAATGGCAACCCGATCGTTACAACAATAGCGGAACTAAAATATTGCTCTGCTTCCTAATGCACGAGAGTTAAAAAAAGGTAAAACAACAATGATAGGGATCTTTGAACAGGGTGGGCAACGTTTACATCGCAAATTGACATCACACTAATTTCCATACAGTAACAATTATAGACATGGCCAGATAAATGTATATAATATAATTCTTCTATTTTAATCACGTTCGGCTAGTCGTCTTTAAAAACATCAGCATTCATGATAGTCTCCACTTCGATTTGATTAAAATTGAAAAATAGTGAGCTAATGTGAGTAATTATTAATCTTTTACCTTTTGCCGAGTGTTTTTCGTTCCATTGAAAGCTTGAATAGCACTTTTTAAATTTTTATTCTGTCATGTTCTAAAAACAGTATATTCTTCATTTATACAAGTTTAGTTCAGATAATACATATTTCTGTTTTTCCTTCGAAACTGTCTAACTGCTCTCAACTATTGTCGTGACCAGCCGAAAATTTTGTCTTTCTTTATTAAAAATGATTTTAAGTTTTTTTGTAACCTTTTATTATTATTATTTATCAGATGGCAGTCTTTTCATCCTCATCTATTACAGTTCCTTTTCTTCCTGTACTTCTTCAACTCTACCCCCTATTTTTAAATTTTCTTTTGAATTCCTTTTAAAAGTCTTCAAATTTTATAGTAATAATAATACCTACCTAAACCATTACCATTAAATCACTCATATTGGATATTAGTGTTATTTCAAGATGACGTAAGAGGTATATCTAACAGAATTTAAATTTGATGATGATGCTACAAGGTGTTCCAAATGGATAATTATAAATTGAAATATCTCAATTTTCTTGAAAGCACATCACATATATTGCTATTTTTTCTGAAAGACCTTACAATAGCCTATAACTTTAATTTAGTATGCCACATCTTTAATACTTTGCATTATTATTCAACAGTTAATCCATTCTCACCATTGGTCACTTAATGGAGATGGAATTCCATCGAGAAATTTGAGAATTTAAAAAAAGTCATTACCAACAGAAATGGTCAAGGTGGATTCATTGGTTGGTCTCCTTGATCATGTGACTTAACACTACTAGATTTTTTTTGTGGAGATATGTTAAAGATCGCGTAAAGTATGTATTATGTAAATTCCCCAACACCATAAGCTATGGAAAATAGGATTCGGGACGCGTGCCGTTTGTGCTAAGAAGCGCCTAAGAAAATATATTTTTAAAAAAGATAAGTTTATTTGTAGTAACAGTTATTTAATATTATTTACCCTTTATGTAAATTTGCTGTTGCTTTATCTACTGCTCCTATTCAATTTTTAATCTTAACAGTCTTAGACAGAAGGAAGGGTAAATATTGGCAAAGTATTTGAAAATAGGTATACGACATACTTAATAGAAGTTGTAGGTTTTTGTAAATCTTTGCCATTTAAGAAAATCGAGATTTTTTAATTTAAAATATTCAGAATATATTCGTTTATTTTGAACACCCTGTAGCATCTAATTCAAATATCAAATATGGTAGGTGTCATTATTAATAGATATTAAGTATGGTAGGTATTATTATTAACAAAAAAGTTCAACATTTTTTTTTTAATTTTTAAAATGATACAATCTTTGCAACTTTTGTATTTACCATTTTCCAACACATTTCAACTTTTTTTGCAACTCCTAATGTTGAGTTTTGAGGGCCAAGAACCTTGAACACTTTGAGAATAATAATTTTATCATTTTTAGGAAGCGCAGTTTTACTAATCCGCTACTCCGTAAAGTAACTATAATTGTAATCTTAACCTCTAAAGCAAGTCAATTATCTAGCTTGTACCTGCCGCTCTCGTGATCCTTGACAAACATCATAGGTACAGAAAATTAAGAATTATTGTAAAAATTGATAGCAATACACTTTTTTGTTTGGCTATAATCTAGGCTCATCCTCCTCTGTATTGTATTACAATAACTACGTTATCTGCAAGAACGATTATCAGAAATAATTCGCTGAACGCCTAACCCCTTTTGGAAAATGGGGGTAACTTCGTTAATTTTAAATGCCTTAACAGGCGCGATGAAATGAAAATGCCATCAGCCCCGATGTTTGTCCAAATTAAATTACCACCTTAGCGGACACAAATTCGATACTATCGTTCGTGAGCGTATTACAACGTTGTCGGTGTTCATTAAAATTTATATTTTAATTTTAGCCAGTTTTAATTCTGGTGCGTAACCTTAGACATTCAAAATTATTTTTATACAGTAATTCTGACGATGCAATATGCTTTATTGTTGAAAAATAAATTTTGCAAGCATAAAATAATATCTAGATGAAATTAAAAGAGTTAGATAAAAACTAATGAAGACAAATACATGCAAATGTTACAAAATTGTCACAAAATATAGACACAGCATAAAAAATAACAACAACAAATAATTGTAAGTAGAGAAGCTGTGTGTTCCACATAAAATTATTATTTTGACGATAGGATATATCTTGTTTATTTTATGATTTACAAGGAAATCTGCCATCTTTTTATCTTTCTTTTTCGAAAATTAAAAAAATCAAATCTGTATATAATTTCATTTCATTAAGTGCATAGATAAATAAAAACAAATATTTTATTTTGCAACAAAACTGAAAATTTTCAGATCTATATTTAAAATATTGTTAAAGAGAATTTATGACATTTTTGATATGATCCCCTATAACACTGCCTAAAATACCCAGCCATAAAAAAAAATAAAGTCAATATTCTCATGTCACGAAACAGTTGACAAGAAAAATAACGAGGTCATTATTCTTATTCTCCAGCTGTCGCTTTCTGAGGAAATCCACTGTCTTAATTCGACAAGCATCGAGCTCAATTGCACCAATTCCGCTTCCTTAATAGGTGCTGCCGACAATAAAGACTGCAAACCCTTTTATCTAGTTGACGTAAGTAATGAAGCCTACAAAAGTTATTATAGTTTTCAAATCGAATTGAACTATTGCAGAACCTCCTACTTTTGGTACTAATATCGATGATTGCCTGTGCCGTTTACCAGATATTAATATCCTTATTGAAGACAATCATTTTGCTTACCGGTATGGCCGGCTTTTTAACGGTTTATTTGAAGTACTCGAAAGACGTGGACAACATTTATCGAACAACTTGTCTTCAAAAATTCAGGTAAGGCTGTCATCATCCCTGATTCTAAGCTACAAAGTAGCTGAATCTACAGCTTATCTCACATCCAATAAACTATCAGTAAAATTTTAGATAGTCAAAATCAAATTTTCCACCAAGGTATGACGCGAAAACTCATGGAAATCTTAGACATTTGTTACATAGCGGTTGTCCTGGAAAATGTAGGAAATCTCTGGGATTCAGATGGAACATGTAGGGACAGTAGCTAAACATTTGTTCTTCTTAAACAACTTTTTGGGTACTTCACATAATGTAACATGTAAATGTTGATATATTAATATTTATTTATTAACAAAACAGTGACTTTCCTCAATAGTTTCTTAAAAAATAAAATATTATTGCTATTACACAAATATATTTTGTGTAATATATATATATATATATATATATATATATATATATATATATATATATATATATATATATATATATATATATATATATATATATATATATATATATATATATATATATATATATATATATATATATATATATATATATATATATATATATATATATATATATATATATATATATATATATATATATATATATATATATATATATATATATATATATATATATATATATATATATATATATATATATATATATATATATATATATATATATATATATATATATATATATATATATTGTTTTGTTTTAGGCTTCCGCGGGTCTTATATGTGAGCTGTAAATTCTTCCGAGTTTAACTTCGCGTCTGGTCTGGCTGGCTCCAAGTGGAGGTAGTCCTCTGCTAACAACGTTTCGGCAAGATCTCACTTGCCATTTTCAAGTCGGGTCGTTCTGCTTCTCGTCGTTCAAGCCGAGTTCAGAACGACCCGACTTGAAAATGGCAAGTGAGATCTTGCCGAAACGTTGTCAGCAGAGGATTACCTCCACTTGGAGCCAGCCAGACCAGACGCGGAGTAAAACCCGGAAGAATTTACAACTCATATATATATATATATATATATATATATATATATATATATATATATATATATATATATATATATATATATATATATATATATATATATATATATATATATATTTGTGCCTTTACCATACAGAATTTATAAACTAAACAAGCCAAATAGGTTTCAAAGATACCATTTCAATTACTAGTTTCCAATACATTTTTATTCAATTATATCAAGTACTTTAACCTCGATTTTAACAGTTGAAACTACTTACTTGCACTTCCATTGCCTTTGAACTGTTCTATCCTGATTCGGGTCTAAACACCGTCGTGGGTCTACTTAGCGTTTCGCTAGCCAGAGTGGCAAGCTTGCGCAAGTTGTATTTATACCGATGGACAGGTTCCGCTTCAGTTTTCTTCAAAGTTTCTTTCTCTTTTGTTGATTTACCAGTCGTTTGGACTAACCGTTGACTGATGACTATAGCTCTCAAAGTATATTCTGTGTTATTCGTTGCTTAATGCATCTTCGGGTACTGCTGACATCCAAATTTGTCCTATCCGGCAGCTTGCTTTATCTTATGGTAGTTCCAGGAGACCTTGCCGTAGGAACACGGTATTGGGTAGAGGTCGTGGTTCAGTTTTCCATGACCTGATAATCTAGAGCATAATGACATCTCGATCTCCCTCAGCTGTGGCCATTTGCCTTAAGCGCAACTTTCAGGCGTTTTAACTCGGCCTGGGGGTTCTCCGGTTAGGAAATCTTGTTCTGGTTCGCTCAAAATTCTGGTTACTCCATATCTGTACTTGTGTATGGGCTTGTTTAACACTGTATGGCTCAGCTTGTTAGCTCGCTTACTCAGTAAACGCCAGTTGTTGTTCATTTTTACAGAAACTCGTGCAGCTTGTCCAAACTGCACCGGACGCTAGTTGCTTGCTCCCAGAAACTAACAGTAAAAAACTATTCACAAATATACACATATTTGCAATCATGCTCTGTGCATCAGGTGTGACTTTTATTGTGGTCTTCGTAGCAGGGTTACTTGAACTGATGGTTTGCTAGATGGGTCCTTGCTCCCTTGGAGACTGCTTCTTTAAACTTGCTCTTGTATCAATGTCGTTCTTTGTGTATTATTTCTGCGTTCATGTTTGGTGTTTGGTGAAATTTCAAGTTTTTTTGGTCGCTTGTCCACACTGATATGATATTTTATATATGCAGTTTTCCTCCAGTACAAACTAACCAAAACTATCTTCACATCTAAGAATAAGCTCGGCCGTATTCTCACTAAGATCAGTAAACAGCGGTCACACCTAAAGCACAGGACTATATTTAAGCTCGTAGAATTTAGGATTCTTTCGAAAGCGGTTGGAGATGCACGCCAACAGAAACATTGATTTACAATTGAAATAAAGACAATGGACGACGAAATAAGCAGTTTCACCAACTCGTTATCATGTTATTTTTTCCTATATTCCAGACATTTTCTGCATTTTTGAACACATCGTGTACAATTTTATTTGGCTAAAAAATTACGTACATATCAATGATTACTACGAGTGTACCGAAGTAATGGGTTTAAATTTTTCAGCGACAATGATACTCTAACGCAGCATTATATGAACATAGTAATTTTAGTAGGATTTGTAATTGCCCTTATTCTACACGGGCAACAAACGGAAGCCACGTACAGATTGGATTTCGTCTGGAAATTACAAGCCACGGGTAAGCAAGGAATCGTTTATCTTTCAATGTATACGGTTGGAAAAATCTCAATTTATATACCGATGTTTTGTTCGGTTTCTTATTATATACGCGTCGGCTAGATCCTCACGTAATTTTTTTCCGCCTTTAATCGGGAAAAGGTGTCCCAGGGGACGACGGCGAAGTTTGGTAGGCCCATCGATTAAAAGTGCAAAAAGACAATCCAAAAATATCATCAGCAACAGTTCGTTTTCAGAAAAAACCAAAATGGCAGACCCATAAGTTCGATCCGATTATTTCCGTCAAGATACAAGAATAAAACTTTATAGAAATTGTAGTCAAAACTGCTTCGGTTTTGGAATCAAATGACGTGTTGCAACATGACTTTTTATAAATTTTTATCATTCAAACACATTGTGATAAATAAGTCAATATTTGGTGCCCACCCTACAGGGAGTTTTTTAATAAGCTTAATGAGTTTTTTAATATGTCTCACAAAGCGATTCTTCAAGGTTTTTAAAGAAAAAAATTCGTATAAACAACTGCCAGGAAGGGCTTCGAAATTAGGGGAAAAGGTAGGACCACGACGGAAATTAAATGTTTTTAATAATTTCTGGTATTTAATTTAAATTATTTAAATTTTAAATTTTTAATAATTGGCTTTAAATTAATAAAAAAATGTTTAAAACTAATGCATTCTGAAAACTGGTTTTTATTTTTTTCACGCGAAAAAAGTTTGTCGTAGGTAAAAAAGGAGGAGAAAAAATTTACTCCAAATTGAATAGAAATTTCGAACATAATATTAATTTCTGCAAGCACTGGTGGGGTACGTTTTTTCCGTTCCAAAATACTCAGTAACTTGCGGATGCCATTGTTATAAATATTCAAAAATTATACTTAAAAGATGTGCACTAAATTTCACAAAATGTTGTGTAGCAATTTCTTAGAACACTCCTCTTTTCGAAAGCGAATCCCTTGCGGGCACACATTTAAAGAAATATGTTCCACTAAGCCGCTATATACTGCGGTATTTTTTTATATCTCCTCAAAAGTTTATTTTGTCGAAAAATTTAAAATTCAAAAGTTGTTTGCAAGGATATGCTGAATGCATTAAAATTAGTGGCTATCTTATATGTAGCTGACAGGACCCAACTCCCTGTATATTATTTCATTTTGGCTTTTTGACATAATTCCATGTTTGCTTAATCTCAATAATTTGTTAAATATTTAAATTAACAAAAAAAAACTACAAAGATGTAACATTATTTTAAACAATGCTTCTTTTAACCATAGTTATTTGAAAGTAATCATTTATGTGGTAAACGGAAATTCAAGAATTCTTTACAAGCGTGTCAAAAATTTACCAATCAATTTTATGTTATGCATAATTTAATTCTACCCCAAAGCGTTTTCTAGTTAGCATTTATTTTGACTCAGAATGACTTGATCGTGTTATTATTAACTAAAAAAGAGTTAATGAACTTTGTAATCATTTCTGTGGTAAACGGAAACGTAAGAATTCTCTACAATCGTGTCAAAAATGCAAAACCTTTTTTTCATTTTGTGTGATTTTATGGTATAATGCATAATTTAATTCTACCCCAAAGCATTTTCTAGTTACCATTTATTTTGACTCAGTATGACTTGATCTTGTGATTATTAACTTGAAAAGAGTTAATAAACTTTGAAACTGACCAACCAGATCGCCTGATTTGTAACGCTTGTGTTTTCCACTTCGTGGCTGTATTAGAGTTAATGTTCTAGGCCTGTAAAAAATAAAGATAAATTATTGAATTGAAAGTGTTTGACCAAAAATGTTGTCATATAGAAGCTACTATTTTAATGATTTCATTTACCTTCATCTTGTATTTCTTGGTTCTTGTGTTCCCAAGTTTGTTATGTTATTTCATTGATTGTAATGATTTCATTTACCTTCATCTGTAATTTCTTGGTTCTTGTGTTCCCAAGTTTGTTATGTTATTTCATTGACTGTAACGTTCTAAATTCAATATGCCAGTTTTTATTTTATAAGTTTTTAACGTTTTTCATGTCCATTTATATTTTCTATTTCGATTTTAAAACAAAATTATTTTTCAGTGTCTGCCTGATGATGCCTGCTTCTGCTGTTTTGGAAAATATAGATTAACAATAAAAACATTGAAATTAGGTACATATAGGGAAAACATAGCCAATCAATTAAGCACTATTCAGTACAGATCCATAAATAATATACCGGGTGTCTTATTTGAAGAAGAAAAAGCTATCTATCACCTATAAATCAATTGCTAAGTTGTTAATTGCCATTCTTGTGCTTCCGTGTACTTCGGATATGGAAGAACCTCTGAAGAAGCTGACTGCATGTACTAGCGGAATATTAGGAAGCTATTCTAACAACGACGAATAAGGACAACAGTTCATCCGACTCACCCCGATAGCCATAACCAATGCTCTAAGTAGTCAGTTCTAAAGTCTTCATGGACGTAAATAAAACCAAAAACATGAATTTTAATATAAAATGTTAGACAAAAAGATAACTGTTGAAAATGGGGAATATAGGAAAGGTGGAGCCAATTGATATTTTGCATCTTCGAAAATAATATAATTGATTGGTTAATTTTGGACAGCCTGGATTCTTTCTCAAATCTCAATACGAATTTCGAAAGAACGATTCTTCTGTTTTATTTTATTAAAAGGTGCATTATTTAAAATGATAAAACAACTTTAAAATTTTTTTAATTGATAAAAACGTCTAAGCAACTATTGCCATTAAATATTATCAGAACTTAATGAACTTGCTATAAAATTTTCCTCTTAGTCACTAAACAAAAAGTTCGAGATATAACAAAAATCGTTTGTTTTATTTGAATGAAACCATCATAAACAAGAATTTAATTGGATAAACCAATGGCATCGATGAAAGTGACTAAATTTTGAACGACCCAATATATATCCGGCCATAAAAATCTCCCCTTCTTAATAAACATTTTCGTTTCAGAGGAGAAAGAAGACATGGAACATTTGGAAGCGTACAACCGTAAATTATTGGCCAATATTTTGCCCGTTCACGTTGCGGAACACTTTTTGAACACGGACAAAAATAACGACGTAAGTAGAATAATGCGTTATCACGATTTATCGCCCAACCAAAAATACTTTCGTAAAGTTTGATGGACGCCCCTGTTTTATCATAATACGAGGAATATAAAACATTTCTAAAATAAGCGATTTTCTTTTCTCAAGATTTTTCAGTTCCCTGAAGCCCACCCCCCCCCCCCTTCTGGCGTTATTTATGCGCCGTAATAACTGATCCGCCTTTACATTTTAATAAAGGCAATTTCTACGGGGAATTACACAAGCTTCGCTGCGTTTTGTTTAACGTCAATTCCGCGTCGGGTGAATTTAAATTTCAAAACGTGTCGGATCCCAATGCATAATTTTTAAAAATTTTTGGCAAACAAGGGACGGAAAAATAACGCAATACGTCTGCGAGATATCGCGGGATATTTAAATCCTCTGGTGTTGGGGGAATCTGTTCGGAGTAATCGACCTCTTTCGCAAACTGATCTCGTTTAATTTAAACGTTCTAGTCTGTGGTTCAAACTTTTTATTAGGGAAAACAAACTGTGCTGTTACCTTCGTCGACAAAATAGGATAAAATTTTGAACGTTCCTACTCACAAGGGAAGGGTAAAATTGTTTTATATTATGTTTTTATCAGAATGATAATTGAGCAGAGTCCTGATCAACACAGGCTATTTCTGGCTCGTGTAGGAACAAACCTATTTAAAAAGAAAACTGTATTCAGCCATATATACCCAGAGGTCAATAAATGTACCAATAAAATCTCGGAGCAATAATACATGCTTAAATAAATATTCCAAAATGGAAAATGAAAACAACAGAGCAGAAAATTCATTACAAATTCCTGTGATTACATCTGGAATATCTTTAATATTCTATGGATATTAAATGAATTTGTTTACAGCCAGATTTACACTTTGGTCTATGAATATGCAACCCAACAACATAGGCAAACAGAAAAATTAAAATACAACAATAAACTTTCAAGATGAAAAGAAAGAAAATATTTATATTATTATAATATATGTAGACGAGACTTTTATATATTTTATATATAACTGTCCAACTTTAAACCAATGTATTGAATAGTGTATACAGGGTTATTTACGGTGAGGGGCCTATTAGACGTTTATGAAGAATTACGGTAAAAACCCGAAATGTTGGTTACTTACGTTAGCGGATATGAGCTACCTATTGTAAAATAATTTTACCCGTGTTTTTTAAATTGAACACCTCTGTATCTTATTGCATTTTTAGATTCTGCGAAACCTTCTGGAACTTTTTTATGTACCATGTGTCATACTTATCTTGAACATTTTCGGAGATAACAGATACTTTATCATAGTATAGTATGAGAATTAAGTAATCGCGTACAGGGCATTCATAAGGTAACATTTTTTCGAAGCCTCTATAAAACATTTAGTTCGATAAATGTCACGCTCCAACCCTATTTCTTTTCAATTTAATGAAGTATCATTCTAATTATAATTGTTGGTTTATCATCTTTGTTTATAGATATTTCTTTTAGGAGGTGGCTGGATACGAGATATTGTAAACAAATTAATACTGATAGCTTATAATATACGGTTATTGACTTTTTAACAAATCGTGAAATAAAAGTGAGGTACATAAAATTACTTTCATTACTTTTACTCTTGTAACTTTTTAATAATAAGCATAATCGAAATCATGAAAAAGTTATTAAACAAGAACGGACAATATTTGAAATGACAGATTTCAAATATTCTGAGTTAGCCTATGTTCACATTTTTTGATTTTTGCTCCAGAATTAGTTAAACGCCTATATCGATATACGTCTATTTCATAGTTTAGTAGACACAATTATCACCTTTCACTATTTCAACTGTACAATATCCAAATTATCTAGCAGCTATGTGGCGTCCACATTTGTAAGTCCGTTAGGCAGATAATTTTAAAATGTAGTCCGCAACACGGTATAATGAGCGCGAATGCATTCAAACCGGTGTTCAGACGCCGAATTTTAACCACACCCACCAGAAAGTTAAATCTTCGCGAGAGCAAATGCCTGTAATTTAAGTTGCACAGCAGCATTCGGTTTATAATCCCCCCAACGGCAATCGTATGCAAAACTAACAACTTAATGCATCCTGACTGGGGAGATTGTGAACTAGGATTTCGGTTGAATATTCTGCTGGCAAAAACAACAACGGCATGCGGAACATGCTTCCGAACGAAGCGAAATTTAGATTGGTCGAAGTTTTGCGATTAACATATTGCGCATTTCCTGCTACCAAGTGCGAAATTATGTTTTTGGCATCGGCTTTCAGATGATCCCGTTAAGTGTTTAAATGTCGAAATCATACTAGAATGCGGATCTTGTTTAATTCTTGTTAAATTTAGTTCGAAGTTGTTAGTTAACCGGAAAGAATAAAAAATGATTGTCAGGCAAATAACAAAAAGTAATTAATGAGCATTATATTTTGATTAAGTGTACGGAAAGGGAAGTGTCAGCCAGCACCGGCTCCGAGCGACTTCGGTCATTTCCGGTACTTTAGGCACGAATTTGGGAACTTAGATTTTAGCCACGGATGGTATTTTCAAGCTTGTAAATTCTGACGATCACACCACACGTCACTCAGTTAATGTTCGTACTAGTTCGTACTATTTCTTAACGATACGTTAGGGTGGATAAAAAAACGATTATTTTATTTTTGGATCTGTCACACAAATACTAATTGCTAGTTACCTCTAGAAAGTACTTTCTACGTATTAATGGGAAGATTATCCTCATTGTAGTTTCGCATTTTAGTCTCATATATCATATCTTATCACCAATAGACCATTAAACCAATTTTATTGATAATTTATCACTGTTTGATAATATTGTTCCAGTCAATATAAAAAAGAAAGAAGTCGAAGCTGTAAAAATTCGAGATGGTGTAAATTCTAAAGAACATCAATTCGATTATTGAAAAGGACTTGAATAACTACGTTTCTCAAAAATCAATGACTTCTTTGATGTTGACATTGCATTGTCGGCTTCAGATGAGAGTTACCAGGAAAACGAAGAGTATTTTAAACAAATGGAAGTTGTAAACGACACAGAAGATTGTGGGGTAGCGTTGGTATCTGAAAATAATCAGTGTTTGACGAAAACCGAAAAACAGTTTCAATACTTGTCAAAGAACATCACGGAAGAAATTTTTTTTCTAAAATAGATAATACATAATCTCAAAATTTACCATTCCAATGAACAAGTGGAAAACCTTTATTAACAACTATGAATATAAGTACCTTTTGGGATTCCAATGTAAATATCTTTAAAATAGATAGAGTAATCAATAAACTACAGCTTTTTTGCAGAGCATTAAATTTCCTATAAGAATAATTGAAAATATTTCATGATAATTATTTTTCAGTCACTAACAAAATTCACAAAAAAAAAGTTATTTTTCGTTAAATTCTTCAATCGTTGACCTCGAATATCTTTCAAATGGTTCGATTTATCGAAAAAGTATAAGAGAATATTTTTGTAGAGCATTCAAAAAATTGGCTTCGTGATCTATTGGTATATATGAGACTAAATCGAAAATCGAAAACTATATTAAGAATAACCTTCCCATTAATATTAAGAGCTCATACGTGGTAAGTACTTCCCAGAGGTTCTAGATGATATACATAGATCATGGAAAAACCACAGTATGCAACACGTTGATAAAGTTCTTCAGTTACTCGTTATGTAGGAAAATTTCCATAATTATTCGCTGCTAGTTAGTTTTGGTTAATTATAAGTTACAAAGAATTTCCCATGTTGAAAATCTATGGAAATTTTCATTTTGAACTATACCACCCGACAGCTATTAAGCTATTAAGTAAATCTGTGTTGAAAATAAAGCCATAATTTTGTTATACTCCAGTGGCGCCGGTATTTTTGTTTCGGGGAGGTAAAGCGTTACGAATGGTTTCCCTTTTTCACTCTGAATTTTGGTTCGGTCGAGAATGTCGGGTTAAAAATGGGATCTATAAAACTTCACGCTTCGTAACGCCGAAAATGTTCTCCTCGCAGGGTGGCATTTGAAGAATGGTGATCCCAAACGAGGGATAAATAAATAAATTTCGGGGGGGACGAATAACAAACGCGATATACACCTAATGAATTACGACCCCTACACTGCGATATATCGAGGGTGCCTCTTCAAAATAAGAAATGTGCATTTCTTATGTTTACGCACAGACATGCATTCTTTTTAAAGGGACTACAAATGTTGTCTTTTGAAAATAAAAAATAATCGAAATCGAAATATGTACTTCATTTTTTTGAGGTACGGAGTCTTTTGGCACATTCCTAAGTAAGAATCGACCATTCGATAGATTTATTTAATTATTCCTTCTTTGTCCGTCATTGGTCCTGTTACTTTGCACTTGTCTGGTACTGTGTGGTTTGCACTTGTTTTTTTTTTCTTTAAGTTCTTCTGACATTACTTCTTCCTATTCCGTTTAGGTATGTCATTTTTTTGGCCTTTTTTTGCGTCCTGTGCCCCGCGCATCCTCCTCATATAATTCTATCCATTTCAGCTCGTTGAAGAGACTGAAAGTCATGTCCAATGGCGAATGTTGCGACTCGTCTTCCACCCTGAAAAATTATTCGTTGAAAATGGTATCGTTCTCTACATCCAAAGTGTCCTAAGTAATTAAGACTTAACAGTGCTGCAGTCTTCCGAAAACATCCCCATGGGTGTTTTCTCTCAAAATATTGGTCCTTGATTTTTCAAAAAGACTTTCACAGGTCGATGCAATACTATTTACAGTTGTCAATTGTTGATCGATAGAATTTACTGACGTTTCGCCAATCATCATGTTGGCTTCTTCAGAGCTTATCTGAAACTGGTTTGCATTCTACTCTGTCCTCACTTATATACTGGTTACTATAGGAGGATATTACAAAGCAACCTTATATACAATATATTTAAAAGACTAGACTATCTCTTTTAATATATACACTCAGAAAAATAATGCCTTTTAAAATGCACAAGCAATCATCTTGTAACAAATCGACTGGTTTTATATTTGAAGTATTGCTTATTGTTGAATTGTGTTTACAACAAATTATTTCTCTTTTGTTACAAAAGAACGTTTTTCCGTTTTTTTATAATCATAAGAATGGGTGAAAATCACACCTAGACATTCTTAATATTTTTCTTTCAATTTATTACCAAACCCTAAGTAAAAGCAATTAGGTATGATTTAAAAAAAATCTCTTCGTTTTATTTTAAGTTAAAACGGTTTAACAAGTCGCTTTTCAATCCTTTTTTTAATGTGTGAATTGTAACTTTATTTAATTATTTTGAAATATTCGTTGAATTAAAAAAAAAGGCTTTTATTAGCTAAACACCATTTTAATTTTCAAATAATCTTTCATTAAACCGTAAGCATGGTATTATTTATTATTAATTTAATGTCAGAGTAAATTTAATTCCAATGAAAACGTTATATTTTATAAGAAATAAGTAATGCGTTATCAAACCAATGGTACTACGTTGTAAATAAGAAAACATGTTCTATTATTATTGCATGTACTTGAAACTAAAAAATTGAAGTTTCTACTGTTAACAGAAAAATGGAATTTCCTTACAATTCACAATGATGGGCTCTGCGTTTTAAATCTAGAGCATGTTTAAATTGTCATTTTCTTATTGTTTTCTTTTCAATTCAAATGGTTACAATGCTTTGGTTTAATATGAATAACTAATAAAAATTTTCATGCACATATTAATTTCATCAAGACATTATAGAATCATATAGCGCCTTATAGATTTATTAAGAAGCACCAATTAAGCAAAATCATATTTAATTTAAAAGGAAGAAATGAAGAAATGCTAAAGGTAACGGAGATTAACTTCTGCATAACGGCTGTTGGAAAATCAAAAAGGAATAAAATCAGAAATTAAAGAATACGGGAAATAATGGGAGCCACAACATCACAGATGTTATAAAAACGAAACAACTCAGATGGTATGGCCATATACAAATGATGAGTAATGGAAGACTACCAAAACAAATTCTAAGATGGACTTCTCGCTGCAGAAGAAAGAGAAGAAAACCCAGGCGAAGTTGGATAAAAGGAATAAAATTAGAGAAGACAAAAAGAGAACTGGAGGGAAAAATGATGATTGGATATCGATTTCGGAAGATCGCGTAGAACATTATGAACCCGATATTTATTTAATTTTGATAAAAAAAAGCGTTTGTTTTTTTAATTTTACGTCTTTCCTCTGAGTGTCGTAACTATTATATAAAAACAGGATTTTCTTTGTTGAAGATATTTCCATAGTAGAATAATTACACCCTATTATTTGCTCTCGTCTGTCTCCTTTAGAAAAAGGAGTTTCCCTCACTTTGGCCAACCCCGTTCAACTAACCTACTTATTATTTTGTTTAGCTGCCTGCTCGGTAGTTTTAGTCAAAACATCTGCCTATTCCAGGAACTCTACCACGAACAGTGCGATTTCGTATGCATTATGTTCGCGTCGATTCCAAACTTCTCGGAGTTCTACGTGGAGCTCGAGGCGAACAACGAAGGGGTCGAATGTCTTCGACTGCTGAACGAAATCATCGCGGACTTTGACGAAATGCTTTCCGAGGACCAGTTCAAATACATCGAGAAAATTAAGTCGACCGGAGCAACGTACATGGCCGCCTCGGGTAGGTAACGTATGTCCTTTTGGGAGAGTTAAAAGTTTAATTTTGTCCGACCGAAAGGGATCTTTTGTGGTAGCGAAACGGTTTTAATAGAGTCACCGGACCTTATATTACGTATTTAGCGAGTGTCGAGGGACGAGTAAGTGCCTGAGTTTCATGTTCATGAAAGGAAGATTACATTTACAACATCGTCGATGCAGTAGACGTCTCATAATCTGGCACATTCATCCTAATTATTTGCCAGTATCTTGACTATCGTGATATACACTGACGTTTTTTTGCAAAAACGGAAACAATAAAAAAATAGTCGGACGGGCAATAAAATTATATCAATTTGAAAATAAAAAACTAAAATTTGAAAAAGACCTACCGAGGTTACAAGAGTTTACAAAATAATATAAAATTGCCTCGTTCTCTGTCTTATTCGCTCCGATTCAGCCTGTTTCATATTAATAATGAAGGTATTTCTGAAAACATTGGCCAGTTATCTTTAATTATGAATGAATATCGTATTCGGCGTGATGTGTCTTTGGGGGCACTATGTAGATCTCTAAGAGAAAGGGGTGATGTGTGTATCTTAATAAATATATAATATGAAATTCAAACCCTTGAACTTTTTAATAAAAACATTGAATGTCCCCGGCATAAAGAGTTCGTGAGACTGCTATCTAAAGAATATAAAAAAAACCAAGGTAAATTTTCAAAGAAACTTCCACAGGGTACTGTAATACTGTTTACAAAACTTCTGGATTCTTCCTGCATCGGTTTTTGCTGAGTCGAACTTGCTGACGTTTCTCCAATCATCTTGTTGGCTTCCTCAAAGCTTCACTGAAACTGGCTCGCATTCTAGTCTGTTTTCGTGATTGTATTCGACAACAGCTGATGAGTTTATTTGTCTTAATTGTAAGGCTCTTTCGTATTCTTTGAGCCTCTCTCCCTCGTTTAGTCCGGTCTCTCCAATGTTTTCTTTGCCGCATACGCATGGAATGCTGTAAATTCCTGGCATCTCAAATGGAATTTTGTCTTTGAGGGACGCAAGATGTTGAGAGATTTTTGCACAAGTGGTAAATCTGGTTTTGACGTTATACTCTTTAGAACTTTTGATATGTGGTCAGTGATATTTTGAATGTAAGGAAGGGCGACAGTGGCAAATGTAGGATTGCTTTGGGCCAGATGGTGATGTGACCATGAATTAAGGTATAGGTCTGTCTGGGTAGGTTTTCTATGAACACAATTGGCCAATCAGACCTAACATTGGGTCATTGTGTTTACAGAAAACCTACGCACACAGACCGATACCTTAATACGTGGTCACATCACACAGAGCCGTAAAACCATCTCAGCCCGAGTCGCTGAACCCAGAATTGAAACCTCTGCTCTTCTGTCTAATAATTTCCACATTTAAAATATTAAGCGTTCCATCACAAAATACATTTCGCTACAACCTTCCAATGGCAATAATGCCGCAACCCTACACTTGCCACTGTGGTCCTTCCTTACATTCAAAACATCAATATAACGTCGAAACCAGATTTACCAGTTGTCCAAAAATCTCTCAACATCTTCGATGCTTGGAGTTTACAACATTCCGTGCATATACGGCAAAGAATACATTGGAGAGACCGGACGAAAAATATTAACTAGGCTCAAAGAACACGAAAGAGCCTTACGGCTAAGACAAAAAAACTCATCAGCTGTTACCGAAAAATTCGTGAGAGACAAATCTATAAACAACCCAACAATCTTAACCGCGACTCAGGTATCTATCTGTCACCAATATGGGAATCAGTCATCCGTCACGGTGTTTATGCTCCTCATTTCGCTCCACCCCCCTCAAACAATATATACGCAGATACAGAGTAAATTATGAACCAGTTTCAGTCAAGCTCAGAAGAAGCCAACAAGATGATTGGCGAAAAGTCAGCAAGTTCAACTCAGCAAAAACCGACGCAGGAGCAATTCAGGAGTTTTGTAAAAAGTAAAACCAAGGTAGCGTGGGTACTAATAAATGCGGAGCATAACAAAAATAAGTCATCTGATAAGGAAACTGTTTTCCTTGCAGAGCATCTTAATTTATTTTTTGTAAATGTCGCTGAGGAAGTGATTAAAAAATTGACCTCAATTACGGAGACTTCTCTTTCAGCGATATCATTTCCAACTTTGTCTTTTATATGAATCCCGTTGACGAGGCATAAATCCTGGCAAAATATATACACATATTCTGTTATAATCTTACATGGCAACTAACCCATCCCTTACAATATAATGTTATCAACAATACAAAAAAAGAAGGAAAAAGTTGTGTACAGAACTTACGTTGCTTTCAGTTCGGCATTAAAACATATATATCATATGTCTTATTATAATCTAAAGATATTATTTTAAAACAGAGCTCGCAAGAGCACGACTGCCCAACTGAGTCTAAACCTCAGTCTAAATAGAAAACACAAAGAAAAAATTAAAAGAAGGAAAGTAAAGGTAAAACTGAAGAGTGTCCTGTAACAGCAACAAACATACAGGTCTGGGCAGTAGAGATTTGCAGCTTCATTCATACGAAACAGGGGAGAACTTTAAGAGTTAACTCAAAATTTTATGCATGAAAAGAGTCTAAGTCACCACTTTTTAACCCTCCAATCTCAAGAGTTTATAATGCGTTATTATCCAAGATAAATTTACTAAGAAATATTTCTTCAAATATCATACACACATTTTCCGTTATAATCTTCAATGGGAACTAACCCACCCGATGTGGATTTGGATGAGACTTTGATGACAGACTGTATGTCATATAATATGGCCTTCAACGTTGCAATTAAGTGACGACGTAATTAAAGTTCATCACACCGATCCAGCTCTAAATTCTTGTGCACACACCCGATATCGAACTGCACAAACCGATCGATGAAAAATAAAAGTCACTGTGTACGGATTTCGTTTTACCACTCCAATAATAGAGACGCGGCGAGGGAGGTAGACAGTCACGTGCGTGGTGTCGAGTGAGGCAACTTATAAATTATTCTGTAAACTTTCACTGAACTCTGAACTGAACCTACATCAAGTGACAGGCTGCCAGCAATTTATATGAAAGTGGAGTAATATCATATTCTGCAACAAGTTTGATAAACGCCATTTTGCAGTCGCGACTTTGATAAACTTTCATAACTCATACTGTTTTGCGAAAATGTTTGCAAAAACTAATGGCACTCAAACCCGACACTAAAATGACGGTTAGCCAAAAGCCAGCGATTTAATTGTACAATTCGCAGGTCTCACTCAGAAGACGTGCGATATGCAGGGTTACCGCCACGTGACCGCGATGGCGGACTACGCCTTGCGCTTAAAGGAACAATTGGCCGAAGTCAACGAACATTCGTTCAATAATTTTCGCATTCGGATCGGCATTAACGTGGGTCCGGTGGTTGCAGGAGTAATCGGCGCCCGAAAACCTCAATATGACATTTGGGGAAACGCTGTCAACGTAGCGTCCAGGATGGACAGCACAGGAGTATGTGACAAAATCCAGGTAGGCGACATACCAGTTCCCATATAACTATTAGATAATTTTATAGCAAAGTTGTAATATAACTTTTTGATGGGGCCGGTATGAATAACTCATGTGCCGGGTTTAATTACATTTAAATAAGTTAATCTTCAGTTATTGAATTAAATACGATCGCAAAATTAGAAAAATTTTAAAAATATTTTACCAATAAAAATACATTTTGACAACGACAACACAAAAATTCGTGACTAACAATATTATTTGTGATCGTTATACGTTACTCAGCGGGCTTTAATTTAAGCTAAATATGCGTTATTCAATTGCAGCTAAAACTGTACTTCAGATTTCAACAGTTAAACATATTATTGCCCAATTTGTGTTCAAAGGCACCGCAGCAGCTGACAATGTCCATAACAGAGCAGAAACAAGAGACAATAGAGATTTGAACATATTACTGCTTGTGGAGGAAAACAAACACAAATATTTTTCCTACCAGATGATACCTTATCTCCAAACCTATACAAGTTACAAAAAAAAAATTCTATAGTTGTTTCCATTAAAATGATCTTTATTTTTCTTATTTTCATTATCTTCACTTTTTTATATACAGGGTGGTAAAACAAAGTTACATTTTTTTAAATAGAACACCCTACATTTTATTGCATTTTTGGATAGTCCTTGCAAAGACAAATTGAACGGATATATATGAGCATGGGTCTGTGATGCACCGTTTCGAACTTTTTAGCGATCATTTTTAAAATTCATTTTATATTTAAACCTTCATTGTTGGGTTGCTCATTAACTTTTTTAACTTTTTTACATTTATTATTTTTACAAAAATAACGCTTTTCTTTAGGCAATGATCAAATTTAAAATATCTTCTTGTGTGTTGCCACCTTTCGCAAAATGATACCTTTCTCAATTTTTTTTATGTATATTATTGGATTTTCGAATAGCCACTTTAATAACAGTTTCAATTATATAACATAGTACGGGTCTCTGACTTAGTATTTTGGCTTAATTGGTAATTATTTTTCAATAATATGTAAATTCTTTTACATTCATAATTTAAAGCCTTTAAATGGAAAAAAACGTTTAAAAAATATTCATATTCTTAATAATAACGTCTTTAACAAATATATAGAAACCTGCCTGTTGAAAGACACAAATACAATATTGATGATATTATAGTAGTTCTCGGTTGTGGTGATTTTTTGACAGGTATCAGTGTATTATAATATTTTAAACGTATTTTTTCGGACTTTCACTATTTTCTATTTATTTTATTAAGTTGCATTTTTGTTGAGTCTATTTTGTATAATGTATACGAAGGAGGAACAAGTTGATCAATTAGAAGGTTACATCGCCAGTAACAAAAGTCCAGCTCTTGCTCTCAGACAATATAATTTATATATTTATATAAATTTCCCCATAGTCGATTGGTAGGAAAAAAATATTTGCCAAAATATACCAGCAGTTTGGAACAAATGGCAGTGTTTTAGTGAAAAAAATACGAGCCGAACGGTTTTGGATGAAAATATGTAGATGTAGACATAAGACCAACCACACTTCAAACACTTCAATATTTACAACGTCTGCGGTGTTATTATATAAAAAATGTGGTGCGCAATCTGGAGATCCAGAATTTTGGGAATCATATTTTACAAACAAAATTTATTTTTATTTTTTATTATCTAATAGCTATATACGGTATACTCCAAAAAAATCCCTTTATATACTTCACTGTGACCCTTTCCGCACAGATTTTCGACGCATATCCCTCATTTTCACATACTATCCTGCACTTTGCGCCGTTTTCCTTCCAAATACTCTGAACTCCTTTTTTTTGTGAAAATTCATGTGCGTATGATACAAAAAATACACGGTATGATTTTCGGAGGTAGCTTGTGATGAAACTGACCAAAACTACTTGAATATTAATATAACACAGTTATAAATGAATATGCAATATGCAATGATTTACTTAAAGCTTGTAAAATGGATATTCAAGATGTTTTTTAAAAATACTAGATTCTTTGATTTTTGACATTCAAAAAATCTGTAACGCTTGTAAGCAATTTTTATTTGTCAAAAGCATTTATGCGTTTCCCGTCAATTCTTACGATTCTAAAAGAAAAGAACTACTAACAAAAAGGAATCAATCAAAATTGGTTGAAGAGATCCTTTTAAGTAAGTTAATCCAAGCCATTCGAAGAGTGTCAGGTTTAGGTAAAAATGTTATAAAATATAAGTTTCCGGAAGGAATGTTATTGGTTTATAGTTGTTCTAATTGCTAAGTCACTGTAATATAGAAGAATAAAATGAAAACAATGAAGATTAAGTCTTTAAAATTAAAAAAGAAATAAATCTTTAAAATTGTATATTGTAGATAACAACTGTCAAATTAATGACCTCTCGACGGTCATGTTGAAAAAATATTCCGGGATATCATCCGTTCGCTTGTTGAACACCGACTGGAATCCTGCATCCGAAAACACCTCAAACACTGTAGTGCGAGCATTGAAGGTGGCAAGTGAGATCTTGGCGAAATGTCTGCAGGATTCCAGTCGGATGCAGGATTCCAGTCGGATACAGGATTCCAGTCGGAGTTCAACAAACGGACGGATGATATCCCGGAATATTTTTTCAACATATTTTTCCATCCGTGAATCAATACGTATGAAAATATATATACGCTACGAAAACAGTGTTCGAAGTGTTTTCGGAGCGTTAGCATTGAGGATGAAAAGTGAGATCTTGGCGAAACGTCTGCAGGATTCCAGCCGGAGTTCAACAAACGAACGGATGATATCCCGGAATATATTGTCATCATATATACATCTATAGCCGTTGTCAGTTCTCGAAAGCCTGACAACCATCAAACACATGCAGTGCCCAATGAGTTTTGGAAATGAAAAATGTATTTAAACAAGAGTTAGACCTATAAGACGTGTTTTTTTCTAAATCCTTCATTTTTGTTAGTGAACAAATTCTCTAGAATATTTTTCGACTTAAAATTTGCTACCCAGAATTTTTTCGTTTAACCGAAATGTTGCTTGATTGACCTTAGATTTTTAATTTAATATATGGGATCAGATTAGGTGTGGGTTTTCTTAAATCAATGTAAAAATTCGAATTTCTCATCCAAAAATAAAACCATTTTAATATTAAATTATTAGACACCATCATAATTAATTACAATTAATGAAATTGCCATATTCACATTTTTCATTATTTTGGTCCATATCGAATATTGGAAGTAAAACAATGGCTGAAAGAAAATCAACACGCTTCGTCTTTCTAAATATTTTAAAGCAATCATTATGTTGTAGGTGACCAAAGAAGTGTATCAAATCCTCAACCAAAAAGGGTACTCGCTCAGTTGCAGAGGTACGATCGACGTGAAAGGGAAAGGTTCGATGGAAACGTACTTTTTGGAAGCCAAGCCGAACAAAGCCGCTACAAACATCACCATTAACCCGTTGACCGTTTCACAATCGATGACCACTTCCGTATTGGACACAATTTCCGAAAAGAATTAATTTTGGCGCCCACTGAACAACGTGAACAAATGAGACTAAGAGTTTGCAAAAAAATTTTGTTTGGGTAAACGATGTGAGAACAAATCTTCAGTTTCGGTTACGACAACGAACGGAAGGATGAGAATTTTATTCTTATTCTTGTCGGATTAGATATGGCTACTTCAATTTCTAGTACAAGGTCATCTGCAATTGCAAAATAAAGGCCTCAAAAAAGTTCCGATGGACCTACTGAGATCATTTTTGTGGTCAATTATGTGTGGTCCAATACGGACACGAATGACAACTTAGCGACTTAATTTTTATAACATTCCTCCCGCCGTTTCTGTACTCTGCATGCCCAATGAGAATATAGCAAAATTTCTCTCTTACTCGCTCCCAATTTGGTTCCACTTTGGACTACCTACCTATTTTGCGAAAGAGCTTTATGGTTGTGATAATAGATGAATTATTGTTTGAAGTGAAGACGGAAAATTCAAGATGCTTATTTGTTAAATCAGAATACTCTTGTATATACTTACTCTTAAGTTTATTTTTATGTATATATAATTTTTTAATAAAATGTTAAGCTCGTGCTGTTTTACTTTTTCAGTCCAACCCAAGCGAATATTTTTTTAAATAAGCAATCAACAGGAAGGTAACGCTAGTCATCACATTAAAACTTTAAAAAGTTGATTAATATAACTAAGTGACAGTTTTTTAAGTTTAAACAGATTGAATCAAAAATTTTGCTTTAATTTTGAATCTGAAACTTGTTTAAAATTTAAAAACATCAAATAAAACAACTGTAAATGCAAAGCAACTTTATTGGCGTCTTTCATGATCTACCGTAAATTACAAAAACTTATTTATCAAAGCGCTGCAAAATTCACACCAAAGCTCTGAGAAACTACCCTCCAGCACTCAACTTTCAACGTTGCCTATTACAGCGATATCAGGACAAAGGACAAGTTTACCGTCCATTTACTTTTATTTTTAATTAATTAAAAATTAAATTTTTTCATTTTTGAAATTATTTTTTTCTCGAAAGGCTTCCAGTCAAATAACAGACAAGTAACTGTAAATAAGTATACAGTGCCCGCATACCAATTTTTTTCGATATTCTGTCTGTATTAGTCTCACTTTCAGGTCGAATTTTTTGAAATTGCCCCAGTGACATTGGTCAGATGACTGATGTCAAAGTGTACTTTTAGGTTATCGGACAAAATACAAATAAGGAAATTAGCAGAGAACATTTTGAGCGATACTGTATATAGTGATTTTTTAATGCATTAGTGTGTTGTTTTTGTGCGACTAATTATTTAATAATAGTAATTTTTATTTATTTATTTTATAAATGAATAATTAAATAATTAGTAGCACAAAAAAATATCCTATATATTTATTGCGTCCTACTATTTTCAAAATGATCATTATAGAGTGAGCAAAAGAAAGTTCCTGCATATCCAAAATGAATTTTTGATTGCATGCTGTATCCGAATTATCATTAATATCAATAAGGTTTAAACACAACATTAAATTTTTAATAATATATTTCAATCTAAAAAATGTATTTTTAACACAGAAATTCTTTTCCTAATTTTATTCACTAGTAATACCACTAGAGGCCAATAAAAGTCCGAATATTGGGTAAGAAAATTCCACACCAGTAGCTTTTAGTAGTTTTTAACTGATCAATATTAATTTTGTTGATAAATTTCCATACCAATGCATTAAAAATTTCCTCTAAAATTCATTCGTTGTCATGGTGATCTTTCAAAACAACAAGTTTTGATTGGTTAGGTGTGGAATTTTCGAAACGTCAAAACTAACCAAAACATTTTTCATCTTTATTAAACAAATAAGTCAACGGGAAAATTAAATTAAAAAAAAATTGTAATAAATGTTGTTCGCATATATTGACATTAATATTTAAGCGTTTCTTTAAATCAAATGAATCATTTTATGACGTCAACTTGAGGTGTTCTCTTGACCATCGACTAGTAGTAATCACTAAAGGACTTAAAAATCAGGTTATGACATTTAAATGGGACGTTATTAGCTAGGTGCGAAACCATAATAAGTCAGACTGTGAAGTACCCCGCGGAAAGACCAACACTTTTACTATTAACCGGAAAGCTTAACGTTTAACTTTAAAGCACAGCTTACCAGTTTAAGTTGTATTTAAAGCGTGCCGAACATCTGTCAAATTTACTTCCCAGCTGTACTGTTGAAATTTGGCAAAGACGTCCCGAACAGAATGTGCGACAGAGACACTGCGATATGCCTTATCATTCGAGAAAAGGCCGTCTTTCTACCTTTGACATCTTCGATCAGAGGGAAAGGCGAGTACATCGATTTGACGTCGATGGCGCCCTCTTCGCGATAGCTGTCAGTTTTCACGAAGGTGTACATATATCGCGATGGAGTCGCTCCGATCGTGTGCACTTTGTGGTACGTGCCTTCGGGAATAGAGTAACCGATGCCCGGAGACAATTCAATGCCCACTGATTGTTCCGTTTCCGGGTAATCCAATTCGAAGACCACTTTGCCTTCCAGCAGAGTGATCGAGACGTTGTACAGGTCTTCGCTGACGTAGTTCTCGAGATATAGACCTGGGGAGGAAAGAAGCGTTTGTAAGAAAACAGATGATGCTGAAAAAGCAAGGAAACTGTTTAAATGTTTCTAAAGATATTTTGCTTTACCATTTATTTTATAAGAATTGAAATGAGATGGCTTTTACTTTTAGAACAAACATTGCTCGGATTTTCTCAGTTATATATTGGTGGGAATACCGTGCCTTTACAAAATATGACAATATTAGGGTTTTATTGCTTAAATCTAAATTTAACAATTGGTCATTAAGTAATTCGAATATCTCATTTTGGTTAATCTCCATAGTATCCTACATATTTTTTGCTTGTTGATTAATTATGTAAAATATGAAAATTATCGTCAAACTTGTGCATTTCTGAATTTAAATAAATGGCATAGTTAGAAGCCGAATTTTTATCTTTATACGCCATTTTATGTTCGTTAATGCGAGTCTTAAATGTTCTACCTGTTTGTCCGATATAAATTTTGGGACATGATCCACATTTACACTTGTAGACTCCGGATTCCTAAAAAAATTCTAGTTTCGTTTGACGTCCTACTTCGTAGCATTCCACCAATTGGCGTAATAAACATAATAGAGGATATTCTAACAAGGCTACCCTGACATGATAGATAGTTTAATAGTTTGTTTAGATCAAAATTATTTCGATGTTAAAGGTCAATTTTATAGTGCTACAGAAGAATTAATTATGGGAAATCCACTTATTCCACTAGATGCAGACATGTTCATGGATAATGTCGGAAATATCATACATAAAAATCTTTGGCGGTATAGATACGTAGATGATGTTTTTGCTTGTTTCACTGGAACGGATAGACAATTAGAGTCCTTTTTGAATATTAACTCCATACATAACATTATGAATTTTACCATAGAGACGGAACAAGATGAATTTTCTATTTTTGACTATAAGTGAATTAGAGAACAAATTAGATTTTTCCAATTACCATACACCCTCACACACGGACGCAGTACCACATAATAACTCAAATCACCCTCACACACACAAAATGGCTGCCTTCTATTATTTTCTCCACAGACTACTTAATTTACCACTTACCACAGAAAATTTTGAAGAATTAAATATTATAAGAGAAATAGAATAATAATGGGTTGATAGATAAGATTATAACTAAAAAGCAGTTTCAAATAACTCTGAACTCTATCTATCCCATATTAAACACCAAACCGAAAATTTATAAAACAATAAAACACATAGAAGACCTAGCAAGAAAATTTCGAATATATTACTTAATGACCAATCGGATTTAAATGGCTCTCCGTTGTTAAATTTAAATTTATAACACTACTACCGTAATTAAGAATCAATCGCTACCTATATACATATATAGATGTCGGAATATTGTTATATATTGTATTTGAAAAAGGCACGGTGTAAAATCTGAACATTTTTTGTTGACATCATGTGGCCAGATTAGAAAAAAATTAGGATTGATAGAAAAGTATTAAATACTGAAAACCTGAAAACCCTGAGTAAAAGGAAACATGACTTCTGGATCACGCTTTTATTAACTAATACAAATTGATTAGGGGATGAAAACAAGCTAATTAATCATTACAATTAATTAATTAAGTTAATTACTTACGTGTACCACTCAAACGGTTGAACATGTTAAGATTGGTTGCTACAAAGCGTTTGAAAACATTTTTCAACTTCTCATTTCAAAACTTTACGGAAAAGAAAACGGCAACTAGCAGAGCTGATTAAAAGATTGGCTACCTAACTAGTCTTATCTTTTTCACGCAGAGAGAACATCGTACGAATCAATTAAAATTTCACCACCCCCAAAAATTTTTATTTATTTATTTTTAGAGACGTTATAATTAAGGAGAAGTGACACTTCCAGCCTGACGTCCTCAGATGTCGCAAGTACTACTTAATCAACCGGAAAACGCAAAGTTTTTAATTCCCTTGTACGATGGAATTCAGTTCCCTGCAGCTTTTCTCTAATGGGGGCTATACACATGCAGGCAAGTCCACGAGCAAGTGCGAAACGAATTCTACTATTCAGGTAAACGTCGAGGTTCACCATTTGGTGGGACCTGCAGCTGTGCGAAAAATCAACGTCGAAGAAATGTGTGTGATTACAACCGCTGTCGTTCTTGCAGTTGAAAGTATGGAAAAAAAGAAAAGAAAAAGACGGAAATGGGTGAAGTCGTGGTTATCCAAACGTAATACACACTCGCATGTTAATTTAATAAATGAATTGAGATTAGAATCGGAAGATAACAGAAATTATCTGAGAATATAATGGAATTTAAACAACTCCGCATTGAATTTTTTTTTTTTTTTTGATAACGTCTTCCTTTGCTGTATCTTCGTTAATTTCTTTCAACTTCTCAGCTAAAATTTTGTACGCACGCATTTTGTAAGCAGGGATTGTCTTTATATAATTCTATGAATTCCCTCATAATGTCTTCGTGTTCGGACAAACATAATCTCTATCTGATCTATGGTGACGCGTTGTCTCGCGCCAGCCAAGCCAACTTCACTCGACCGAGCCACAGTCAAAAGCGAGAAAGACGTCCGCCCTTCATTTTTTTTCATTGTCAATCAACATAAATTGTCAAACATCCAAGAGATCGCTTACGAATAATTTTATTTATTGTAATCTTCGGCTTATTATTCCAAGATTTTTTTTAAGGTACGTGCTTAACGTGACTCAAACCTTTATAATAAAAGTTTTCTTTTCCTTCTTAATTTTGTTTTAATTATTGTCTATTTTGTTCTTCCTCTAAGATATAGTTTCGGTCATGGTCTGTGTTCTTATTATTATGAATTCGAAAGAGTTCCACCTCCCTCCAACAGCTTTAAAATGAGCAATACGTAGTATCGTAGAGCGAGCTTTGAAGAGATTAGCAGTTGCGTCTTATCTATACCAGTTAGATCATATGTCCTCCAATACATACTTCATGACTGCGATATCTGACTTACGTATGTCGTAGATTGTGCTGCCCCCTGGCGGTTTCCCGCGCGACGTTTATATTGCAACAAATTGTAACGCGACATTAATGGTGCAAGACAAAATAGAAATTGACATTTGGTAAGCCACGAAAGTCACATAAAAACGAAAGAAAAAGGATTACCTGGAAAATCTGCTACGAATAATACTTCGGTCCGGTTGGACCAGGAGTATACATGATCGCTGATGTCTTTCATTTTCCTCCGGAAGTCGTTTTCTGACAGTACCGGCTTCAGCCATTCGACCGGTTTGAAAGGCGACCAATTCGCTTTCAACAAATCGAAATTCGGATCGTACATCCTCTGCTGGAACCTTTTGTTTAATGAACACCATACGTCGACGTATACCGAAATATTCGTAGAAAATGTTTCGCCCGGCCTACGTTCGCCTGGAATAAAATTAGTAATTCCAAAGAATCTTAATAGTACAACTCTCGATGAAGTACGTAATAAATTATCCCGGACACAATGCGCGTATTGAACGGACATGTCTGCATGTTTGTTCCATCTATCGTTCAAAGTCCAAGCATGCGAGTTGAGGAAGTGTTCCCTTTGCGACTCGTTGTCCACTACCCTTACGGTCACCAGCACCGTATCCCAAGAATGAACCATCATGTCCCATGAATACCCGTACAAACCGTTCGTCCAGTTATTGTAGCCCTTAAATGTCACAATATTATTATACTAGTTTCAAACCATTTTGCATTCAACAAGGTAAAAAGTTATAAAGTTTTTGAATTCATGTGAACACCTGTGCACAGAATAGATAAATAACCAGAAGAGCTAACTTTCAGTTTGCCCGCGAAGCAATAGGCTAACCTAAAAAAAGATAGGTCAATTCATTTGGTCAGGCTTTGGTCAAGATCGATGACTCTTCGTATGTGAATGTCCGTCTGGTGAATATTGAGAAAATTTACAGTATATGTAATCACCCTAATTTTGTACATTCTTGGAGCAATTTTTCTTTGGAATATATAATAAAATTATATTTGAGTATTAAACTGTTTTATGCAAAAGTAACTTTTTATAATACACTATTCACAAATAAAAAAGATGGCAATTTGAAAACATTCATAAATATATTTTCTTTTACTAAAATAAAGTTTCGTTTTATTACTTCTTTCGGGTCATTTTTAATTGTTTAATTTTCTACGCGCTTCTACTCTTTACTCAATTGGCACGAACGTTTTTAAATTTTAAATCTGCCATATTTAACAACATAATTTTAAATACGCCATGGTTTGCGACGTCTGCTCTGGGTTCTATCTTTACTAAGTGGAGTCGCCATTTGAGAAATGTCACTGATTTTCGGGAGTCTTCTCAGTTTTTCTATTTGTCAGTTGGTCTGTTTGTCTATTCTCTGACCGAGCTATCTATTTAGTTATATTCTTAACTTAAATTCATTCTTACAGATATCGTAAAACTTTTAGGTTAGGTCTGGTTAGTTTGGTTCAATACACAAGTGAAAGTGATGCAAATCAGATTATTCGAAGTATTTTTGAATCTTCATTATCCTTGTAAATGTGATAAAACTCCTTAATACAACATAAGGACAGGAGCAATATGGCGCCCCGTTACATTTTGGTATTGTAGTTTTTATTTACGGAATTTCAAAATTATGACTTTAGTGAAGTGGAACAGTTTCGCCAATGTGGATTTTGCTGGGCCAATTTTATTTAAAATGAGGGGTTTGTCAATATTGGTCAGTTGTAACCATTTAGGTGGATATATTCGGTTGTATTTTGATCAATATAAAAAAATTAAGTTTAAGAATGTAACTATTATAAACTTTTTTTTATAAAAACATTTAAATAAAATAATAATGTGTAAAGAATTTCAACAAGAATATATCGCTGAAAACAACCTTTTCTTCTTTTTATATAAATGAGCAAGAGAAAGATGACAAATCCCAATTATTAGCTTCAGTTGCAAAACTTGCCTCACCTTTTTTCAGACCATAGTTATTTCACTTTAAATCAAATTGCACCGATTTACAGTTACGCTTGCAAACAACAATTTTTAAAAGTAAAAAATGCAAAAAAAGTAACAAATGAGTCAACCTACTTTTGTTACGAAGTGTGAATACGGTAGAAAGATTTGAAGCACGCAATGCACCAACAAAATCCCAACTACAGTTTTGTGCCTGTACGTCGGATTGGTTTGTAATTGGCGATTCTTACTCGCCGGATCGTTCTTGTGGTAAATGCAAGCTTTGCTGGGCAAAACTTGCGAATTTGCGTCCGAAAAAATATGTAGAAATCTCCTCGGCCAATTTTCGTTGCAAAATAACGGCATCGTTGCCAAACACACGTACGGAAACATACCTGAAAGAAAAACATACTGAATTTTTAAGTCTACCACTACATGAACGTACAAAATAGATTTTAATAATTAAAAATAATTTTATTTTTATTGTTTTTACTCAATAGATTCATATTTAATCTTCCCAATATGCCAATTCTGAAAATGAATGAATGAAAATGAACAAAATTTTCGAAAATATCCGTCACTTAATTTCAGAACCAAACAATCCGCTGCGACCGCTGAGGGTAACTTGCTGATTGCGGTTTTTCTAAAGGAGGAAATTTGCATCTGCCGAGAACACAAACTGAAACCGCGCATTTAATTTTAGCAATTTATTAATTATTAAATTATTCGTTATTAAGTAACAAAACTCAAACTTTCCGAATACCCGTTGAAAACTTTGCGCCCGGTGGGGCAATTTGCAAACATAAAACTTCTTCAACTTTTAGCGAAATCGCAAATTATTCCCTAATTTAATATCGCCCTGAACTTTTATGGACGACAAAAAGAAATAGTGTAAGCAGTCAAAACTTTTTCATCTAAAATTTTATATAACTTTTCTCCCGCTTAAAGCTTGGACTCACCTATATTGAAAAGCCGAGAGTTCATCAAATGAAACATGGAACAAAACAACATGGCGACGGGTCGGCTGAATTCGAGCAGCATCCAAAACCCTATCGTCAAATCCAATAAAAACCCAAACCAATGCACCACCAAATAATCTATCTCTTCTGTAGATAAAACAATTCTATAAAAAAGCGAAAGGTGAGAGTGTTTCTAAAGAATTATAGAAAATAAACAGAAGACATTTTTTATTTACCTGAAAGGAGAAAACACCCAGTGTTCCCCCAAATGGGTCATAGAGTAACCTTCTAACCATTCGCTATCTGTTTTCTTTAATCCCGCTAAGAAATATAGCATAAAGAACTGGTATTTGAGGATGAAATAATTCCAGTACGGTACGTGGCTGTTCCTAATTTTTGGATTCAATACACCATCCAACGAACTAAAAATTCATTTATTGTCAAGGTCGTGTTATTTTAATAGTATTTTCAAGCAAAGAAAGGTCATTTTCCAAATATTTTTCTTTGTTTTTGCAAAGAGAATTGCTTTTGACACACTGAAGGGATTCGAATGACCCTTACAAAAAATGATTGGCAGACGAACCCATTAGTAAAATGGTCACTACGCCGAACAGGTAGCTGTGGTTGTTCCAGAACGACTTGTCCAGTAAAAATAGATACCAGTAGCTAATACCAAACAGTAGAACACTGATTCTAAACGCAAGCCCCAGCATTACTCCTACAGCACCTAAAAACACCTCAGTCTTGAATAGCTAATAAACGTTATTTTTAAGATTTTGTGTAAATACCTAGTTTGTTAATGCATGAGAGTAATAAAATGCTAATTTTCCATGACATGCATCATGGATAAATTAAGTATTTCAGTTTTTAAGTTGCACTAATTTGCATACTATACAAATATGAGTTGGGTGAATGAAAAATGATGCTAGAGTGGCTTCACTACACTAGTGTGCTTATAATTATCAAGATGGACATATAATTGATATATTAAGTAGTCTAAGATCAATTAAATAAAAACTTATATTAGAAGTAATAATAAAATGTCGATATATTGTAGAATGTCCAACTCATTGCCAACAAGTGCCGGTAAGTAACTATAAATCTAATGTTAAACACTAAGGCAGAGGTAGATCTACCTACTCGCCGCTCTCAGGAGATACAATACCAAGCCTATAACTCTCTCACATTTAGAAACAGAGTATAATTAAGCATATTTATACTACATCAAATTGATGAATTTTAACATATTTTATAAAATATAAAAATAACTCAATTTGATTACAATTTGTGTTAACTATAATCAAAAATCAACGCAATTCACAAGAACTGATTTTATAAAAACTATTGATTATTAGAAATATTACCTATCCACATTACCGCGTACACCAATGACATATAAGCGAAGGGCATCGGTTTCAGTATCGGGATTAACGGAAAATGGCAGATCTGGGGATTGCCCCATCTCAAATCGATGTCAGCTCCGCCCCTTTCTTCGGCAATATCAATTGCCATCAACAAGCCTTTCGAAAAATAAAAATAACGCTAACTACACCTCTAAATACACTAAACGAATACCAAAGAAACACTCAAAAACTTACCGAAAAGAAATCTGATAACGCCTAAACTCGAAGGATCTGTAGGGCGGTACATAAAACGTACGATATCTTCATAGTTCAATTTCTTAACGCTCTCCATACCAACTAGAAGTTCCCGAACCAAAGTCCCGACAATGTGCTTTTCTTTTCTGGCCATTTTGTTGCAAAATAGGTCGCGGATCTATGATATCGATTTTTGAAATTATGTAATTGGGGATGTACCCACGCGGAGACGGTCTACCAATAGCAGTTTCCAAGTAACCAGTCAAAACACAAAATTCTTCACTGCGTGAACTTTGACATGGACAGGCAATAATGTTATCGGTCGCATTGTTTATATTTTGGAGAATTTGTAATCCAATTAAGTTAACAAGAGAAAAATGATAATTATTATTTGATTGTATATATTATAGATCGATAGTGCTATTTTAAGAACATCGTAGGTTAAATATACAAATAGACACAACAATAGAGTTAATAAATAGATTCGCAAGCCACAAGTTTTGGTGATTTTTCTATTGTGTTGCGGAGCGAACGATAAAACAGAAATTTGAGATCTGTATATATTTATCACAGTGCTAAAGTGTACAAAAACGAAAACTACAATGTTGTAGTATTAACGAAGTTATTATTATATATATATATATATATATATATATATATATATATATATATATATATATATATATATATATACATATATTTTTTTTTATTGAATGTTAAATAAATGTCCGTAACTACATGAAGAAACTTGAAGTTTTTAAAAGGGAAGTTTCCTAGGCTATCAATAAATATCGATAGCTTATCGATAGATTACCTTACCAGCAGGTGGCGTTTTCTGACATTACTGCCGCTATTGCATAGTTAAATAAGGGCCCAACAGTCCAGTGCCCTTATCCTAATCTAAAATATGAATAAAACAACTAATTATCCTGAATTTATAATTTATTATTTAGAATGTCAGATGATTTTTAAAATTTAAATGTTATTATTTATTTTTATCACTCATTTATCATTACGTTCTAGCATCCTTACCCGTTTTCAAATATTTAGCGTTATCGCTGATTTTTAATTAAATATGAACTCGGTCGCCATTCAATTGCTCGATGCTAACTAATTTTATTAACTAATAAGTAGTTCAGTGTGGAAAACCATTTCATAAATGAATGAAATACCTTCTTTAACAGAAATAATTTATCTCTATTGTTTTTACCCTAGACATCTTTCATGTCTTTATTTGACGCTTATCAAAGTCTATTGATTACCGTCTTTTAATTAATGTTTATTTATGTTAGTGTTATTTAAACTCGATAAGTTCATCCTAGTCCAGTGCCTAGAAGACATCGACGCCTTAGGAATGAAGAAAAATATTGATTATTTCAATACACATTTTACTACTTAAATAATTTAATAGTTAATAACATTAGTTAGTCGTCAACTGATTAGTAATATCTTGATAATTTAACATTAAGTTCTTTTCGTATTTTGGTTATGGATAAAGATATTGACGTAGAAAACGTCATATCACAGCATTCGCAACTCATAGCACGATTGATATCCTAGGAAAAGCCCTTTTTAATGACTCCAAATTTGTTAAAATGCGTTAGGCCTTTTTGGAGTTATCATTTATTTTCGAAAATGTTCGAATAGCCTCAGAAATTTGAAAATATTTTTCCTTAGCCGATTGACTTAATAACTATTTTTTTTTTAATTTCCAGGACCATCAGTTTGCCTAACAACGTACCTCGTTTCCCTTAACGGGACACCCAGTATTTAAAGAATTTCCAATTAATTTGTCTCATTAACCTTATTAAAGATTTTGTAACTAGTTGAAACATCATATCCACAGCGTGGATGCTGCATGTGCACTTTTGTTTTAATTGGATTAAGCTTGTCTTGGGCTTTCCAAAAACTGATAGTTGTCTACATTCACTTTATATAAGCTTAACTTTTACATAAATAGACCGTATTAAAAATAGCAACATATTATTTGAAATCTTAACAAGAGAGCCAGAAAATTAACCAAAACGTGAACCACGTATCTTTGAAAATTGGACAGCCCATATCTTCGAAATTTGTTTTCAGACCTTGGTATCCCTATATGAGAAACTCGTATCGGAATTTCAAATTCTGTGATAAATAATTCAACGAATATTCGATTGTTTATTTGTTTGCATCAAAACTGTAGAAATAATAAGCGTGTTTGGATATTTCTACGTTTTTACGGTGCTCGTACATTATAGATAGGATATACAGAAAAGATTCTTTTGGTTCAAAAGTTTTAAAAAACAGAAAAAAATATTTTTCTCAAATTTTATATACTGCTATGATAGATGGACATAAAAGTACTGTGGCAAATGAGCCACTAAATTACTAAGTCTAGTCTAAACCGATGCAACTTACGAATATCTAATTGAACACATTGGATTTTCCTGCATATTTTTTTTTTGAAATTCACTATGTGACTAAGGTTACTTAGCTTTATTCTAGTAGAATTCGCATATGATTTCGTGACAAAATTGGGATTTCAAAAAAAAGGAAATAATTGTAATGAGTATATAATTTTTAGGTTTTTTATGTTATCGATAAAGTCTAATTTTAAAAGCAGTTTTTTTTTCATAAATTTTAAAACCTCGCCAAGAAGACTGTCTGATATATAGGGTCCGAAAAGATGTCATTATTAGTCAGTCATTTTGTAAGCCAAATTAAATCTAGTGCGATTTTACAAAATTTTTAATTTTTGGATACGTATTTTTTGTTGACTTGACTTTATTATAATTGCTATAACTTTAACATATTGTATTTTACAATTTTCTCGTACTTATACAATTTACACAAGGAGTATATGCAAAATAGTGAGTAACATTCTTGGTTTTTAGTATTACTCGAACTGACAAAATTGCAAAACATTCTTAGAGTCTGTGATATTCGATAAATGTGGGATCTGGATGAAATTGGAGGGAAATTTAAAAAAACTGAAAATGCAGCGATTGCTAATAAAATTAACCATTGTATCGCTGACTAAATGATATATGAATATTATTTGCTTATTCTGTACCATAGGTTATGACATTAATTTATGAGCATGTACTTAACAAATTTGTTAATTTAGTTCTAGATACAACAATTTAAACGTATATTATATATGGTAAAATCTAAAGAAAATTCATCACTTACGAGAACCGGCAGTTGTCGCACCTGGAAACCCTTCGTGTCAGGAGACAGATCAAACAATGTTCAAGAAATCTTGGAGGTGGAGGTTTTTATCTATCGGGATCGTCGGTATGGCAACAAGTTATTTTAATCCAATCGATAGATGTATCCCCGATACACTATACGCAAAAGATTTATCATCCGTTTTATTCGGTTCTCTCCACTCTTCTACAAGTCCGCACGCTTTCTAATTGAGATGTACGACTGTCCAAATAGAAAACAAAAATAAACTTTAATTGCGATTCGATACCGCGGTTATTTTTCGCGACATCTCCAGTCGATTTTAACTAAACATTACATTCCTGTGACGTTAAAAAAATGACAATATTTGAAATTACGAAGAAGGAATGTTACGACGTTGTTGTTAACTAACCAAGCAAATTAATCATCAGGGGTTATATAAACTAACGTTATATTTAGTCATTTATCTGAAGAAAAATCTGCGTGAGAAATATGAAGCCCAATTAATAAAAAATATAATCTAATATAAATTATGTGTCTACCTAGTTTTGGTTAGTTTTGGCAAACGTAGACAAAGTCCGCATTGCCGGGCCACTTTAGGCAAAGTCGGAAATTATTAGATATTTCGGACATTGCCTACACTGTGGTACGACAATCTTAGGTTTTCCAAATGTGTAGCAAGCAATCTCCGAAATAATCTGCCGCATTACTATCATATTGTCAATATTCTTTGTTGTACAAGTATAAGGCACAGTTTGTGATAGGAGAAAAAGAAATCAGTGTGTAATAATAATTTATTGTATCTTAAAGAACAATCACAAATACACCTTGTATTATTTATGCATGTTACCTACTACCAATAAATAAGTATTTTCCAAAAAAAAGAGAAGTCTCTTTGGGTACAATTACGGCTCCTGCATTATACACTTACATATTATACAGGGACCCTTATAAAATATGTTTAGTCTTAATTATGTCACTTATTAGTACAATATTTCGAATGGTGACACTTAGAATTCCATAACAATTTTAATCTTTTCATTTACAAGAGTTAGTGGAACAATTTTTGTTACAGTTACATTTCCGGAAACTTTTTTTTTGCGATACCTGCAGCTGCAGAAATTGTCTGCGCACAGGGGAGGTGTAGAAGTAATGCTTCAAAACTCTCTTCGTCATCGTTGGTACTGGTGCCACTGATACTTCGAGTGCAATTCAAGTGAACAATTTTACCACAGTTACTTGTGAGAACCTGAAGTTTCCTTAGAGCAAATAACACATAAGTTTTGTAGAGTTTGACTGTGGTTTTAAATTATCGTTTTCAGAATGGGATTTTTCCTGCTCTGGAGTATTCGTTGCTTCACTTCTATTAGAATTAACAGTAGCCAGCACTTCTTCTAATTTCTCTTCAGTTTTCAGTACCTTTTTTACTGAATCAGGTAAAGTCGGAGTTTTTCTTCCTAAAAACAACGAAGTCAATTATTTACTAGCATAAGCAGCAACTTAGTCAAAACGATATCAAACTGAATTAAAATTATTATATCTCGATTGAGACTCTACCATTGATGAACAAATTTTTTCGGCAGTAACACTTTAACTTATGTTTTAATTAATTGAGACGATGCAAACAACAAAAAATCGAAAAAAGCGAAACTGAACTGTCTATTCAAATTTTATTTATGACTTTTAGTTTTTGGGATATAATACAGAGTTGATAATTTTCTTATGGATTGGCCATTTCTTTATTTGATTTTTGTTGTTTTAATTTTTTCTATTTTTATTGTTTCTTTATTTTCTTATTATTTTTTAAATATTTTATTTATGTTTTTATGTCTTTTTTCCTGAACTAAAAATAAGTAATTATAAAAGAAAGGAAAAAAATATATAAAAAATTAAATAAATATACAAAAAATACAATATAAAGTGTGACACATCATTTTAAAGAATATTTTTTTCTGATTTCAAAAATCAATTAAAAAAAAGATCATTCTGTAAGAAAAATTTCAACATATATATTTCAAAAACTAAAAATTATAGATAAAATTTGAATAGACAGTTCAATTCCGCTTTAAAAATACTACAAAAAAGCAAGGTACACCAAAAATAAATTTTCATAAATAAAAAAGTTACAGACTCTATCCCAAAATGTGGACATATCAGAATGCGGTTTTCAATAAAAATATTGTCTTCAAATTTGAGCCACGCAATAGGGGGTATTTGGAAGTACCCTAACCCTCTTAAAAGTGATCAATTTTGAACACCCTTTACATTTAAAAAAAAAAAGGTAATATATAACAGTTACTCACCAAAAATTGCTTCAAAAGGAGTTTGTCGGATTCCGCGGTGACCTTCACCTCCATGCTTGGTTTTATTACCTTCCATTCAGGCAAACAATATGTTTTCAACGTCTGGTAATTATTGATCCCGGTAATATTTGAAATCACCATCAGGGCAAGTCTGCATATCTATAAGATCGACTTGTCCTCTCAAATTTATTTCTCGGAATAGCAGCGGTTTTACGGTTATTCCTTTTTTTGGATGCTTTTTCTTGTTGTGACAGACTTCACAAAGCTCTAAGTAAAGTGTAATACATTCTCGTGTCACGTCAGCATAATATCTGTTCCACCATGGCCACATACCTTGTGAGCATTATCTAGCACTTCAAACAATTCTTCATTGAAGACAAAGTATTTGACTTCAGTAACTTGCTCAGACAATGGCAAAATTAACTTTTCAATGCCCCCAATAAGTAACACATTGTAACGTTTAAAACGTCGGTATGCATTTAGTTACTTATTTCCTAAAAAAATCTACATGAGAGATGTCTGTTTTATTTTTGTTTTTTTTTATCAGAAATTGCTTTAATGCACAGACTTTCATAGCGATTTATTTTCTTTGTTAAAAATTTCGTTTGTTGATTTGGTTTGTTTTTAAAACAAGCAAATAAAATTTCATAAGTGAAAAATTAATTAAAAACAAAATTATTAAGAAAATAGATAAAGAAATGTTGCAAGTATTTTACACCTATACAGATTTGAAAAAAACTAGGTGTAAATCAATTTGTTTTGAAATTAATAATATTTTACCACTTATTTCACTACTTACTCATTAATTATTGGATTGAAAAATTTAATAATGACACTGCGTATCTTGGAATATATTTTTCAGTTATAAAATACACATTCACTTGCTTTTGAGGAAGTTATGTGTCTCACTCTACCTTTGATATTTCACTCTCGTTTACAGGCTTTTATAAAAATTCCTAAAAAATTAACTTTTTTTTTACTTTTGTCATCTATATCTGCTAACTCTCTATAAATCTTAGGTCCGAGTATGTAATTGTGATGAGGGGCAGAGATAATCTCTTAGCTTAGTCCATTTAAAACATATAACTGAGAAATGCTGCAAATTTTTGAGACCAAAGTTTCTGTCAACTACCTTCCAATAACAATTTTTTTTAAATACCGCATCGGTGAGGAATAATAAGAGTCCTGTATATGATTATTTCAAAATGACCTCGTCAAATTATAATCGTCAAGTAATGAAATTAAAACTTAATTTTTGTTGTGAAATACTGAACAACATAAACATCAAAATTTTGTTAAATTTTAATAGACCGGGGATTATGAAATCGTCTGCCCATCCACCACGCTTTCAAGAGTATTCGATTAATATTTATTAAGACGTGTAGGTAAGACTTAATTCTAATTAAGACGGAAGCTTGTTTCGATATAACGAGTTATATATTTAGCGCGAATACGCGTGGGCTCAAATCAGTTTACCGTGTTGGATGTCAAGGTCGACTTTAATAAACGCGGCCGCCTAGAATAACCGTTCCCCCCTTTTCATCGCACTTCCCCTTGATTAAGTTGGTCTTTCCGACTTCAGCCCGAAAAGTGAGCTGTTGTGTAATAATTTTCTGTTAGGCGCCATGTAGTATTTCCCAAAATTGTTTTTATCATTTATTATATTGCCTGATCATGATGCCTCATCTATGCTACATGCATACCAACTTTTTCAAGGCGTTTGACAGAATGATCAAAAAAGACACTGGGTCTGAGGGCTTTCTAGTTTGTAGGGTAAGAAGCAATCTCATCGGAGACCACAAATTGTTCATATTAACAACTTTACTCTTCCACAATCTTAGTCTCATCCGGTGTGCCTCTAAGCATCCCATTTGGACTGGCTTTTCAACCTATTCATTAACAACATTAACTTTTGCTTCTCACATTCCTTATTTTTCCTTAGAGTGATTATATTTTAACCTAACAACCTTATCTTGCTTTATTTTTTAATTGTTCCACTGAAATTTTAAAATAGATAAATATATTTAACTGGTCAAACAAAACTGAAAAAATATTAAATACTGTATAAAAGGGGACCAAGAACACTTCCTTATGGTACACCAGTCGCTTATACTTTGAAATTTTATTTACTTATTATTTATTATTTTTTATTATAAGTTACACTATACTCAACTTGCTCTAGCCTACGGAAGCACTGAAATGTCAGACTTAGACCAATAATTTGGACGTGACCACAAAGGCTTCCAGTATTATCACTACCTTAGGTACCACTATTCCAGGAATTCATAGCATTACGAAACCTTTGGGAATGAATGTGTGACCGTGGATATGCTTTCCTTGTTGCAAATAAAATTATAAGCATTTTATTTCAATTGTTTGTATATATAATTTGGATAAAGATCTTATTGTAGTTTTGCAGACCGATGAATGTTTGTCGCATTCAGTGTAAATTTTAATGTCTAACTTGCAAATTCACTTTAGGAATCACAATTTTTCACAGTTTAACAGTGATAATTTATGTCATCAAGACAATTACAAAAATTCTAGGTTAACTAGCAACTGAACTTAAAATTTCAGCTTTAAATTGTATTGAAAATTTTGGCAGGTTAGAGGGCTACGAGTTGTTAAAGCCATATCAGAGCTATTTTAGGGTAAATAAAACTATTAGGAATACTCTAGGTAAAGGAAAATAATTTATAGGAAAAAACACTCTAATATTTTATTTATTGCTTTAGGTTTAAAGAATATTTGTTGGATCGAAGTAGGGAGACAGCAATGGAATGAAAGGAGAAGAAATATAAAATTGTTCAATCAGTTGCATTTGGCCATTTCACATTTGAAAGGCTTAATTCTTATGTGCTCTTACTGAAATTGCAGTTTAGAGAAATGAATAATGACATGAAATGGAAC